CCACCCTTTTACCGCTATATTATTAAAAATATAAACCTAAATTTAAATTTTACTAAATTTTTTTTAAAAAAAAAGAAAACAAGGGTATTTTAATAACAAGCAAGCCAAGGGTGGTAAAGATATTTAAGAATAAAAGTATTAAAAAAAATAAAAATAAAAAAAAATTTAGATATAAGGTTATACCTAGGCCTAATTTTAGTAAAAATAAGGCCTTTAATTTATTAAAGGGGTTACTACCTTTTTTTACTCTAAACCTTACTTTAAAACCTTATTATTATAAAATTTTTATATAAAAATTAATATTAGCTAGTTTTTTTAATAAGTTATTATAGCTTTTATAACAGGTTATATGCTTTTAAACTTAAAAAAATTTATTTTTAAACCTAGCTAGTTAATAATTATTATAAAAAGTAAAGTAAACCTGCTTTTAAACTTTTATTTATTTTATTATTAAAAATATAAGGGGAGGTAAAAAACCAAAAATTAAACTTATTATTTTTTTTAAATAATTAGTTAAATAAAAACTAGTACCTTAAAATAATTAAAAAAACTTTAAGTTTTATTTAAGCACTTTAATAAGCTATATAAGCTATATTATTATTATAATTATTTTTAATTTTACTTTTTATAATTATATATAATTTGCCTTTTCCGCCCTTTATTAAAACCTTAAAAAAATACCTTTATTAAAATAAATTATTACCTTTTTTTAAGTACTAGAAGGATCTTAAGAACTATTTACTTAAAAATATATTTTTTAAAATTATTAACCTTAAATTAAATAAACTTAAAAAAATAGGAGCATGGAAGGTAGTTAATAAATAAAAAGTAGGTTTAAATAAGCTAATTTCCTTATTATAAGTATTTATATATAAGTTTAATATAAATAGCTACTTTCTTAAGGCCAAAGCTTAAATTTATATATATAAAGATTTTAAACTAGTTAATTATAAAGATAATTAAGTAGCTATAGCCTTTACCTATTTTTTTTAAGTTATTATAATACTTATTACCTTTTTTAATATAAATATAAGGTAATATAATATTATTAATACCTTTTTTAATATAGGCCTTAATAAGCTTATATATTTTTAATTTTTAAATAACCATAAGTAAGAAAAAAAGCTTTTAAAAGCTTTTAAAGTTATTTATAGCCTTAAAAAGTTTTTTTACCTTTAATAACTTAATTTAACTACTACCCTACGCAAATTTAGCTTTACTATAGTACTTAAAAAGGAATATTTTTTTACTAGTAAGCTAATAATTTTTTTAGTATATATAAATAATTTTATTTTTATAAACCTTTTTACCAAGCAAGGCCGCTTTATAATAACTACTTTTAAAAAGAAACTTTTAATAAAGTATAAGCTTTAGTATTTTAATAAAGCTAAATAGTTTTTAAAAGTTTAAATCCTTTAGGATAGGCCTTAACGCAAGCTTTAACTTTTTTAAGATTTTTATATTAAAGTTATTACAAATTAATTTTACCTAAATATTATAATTTAGCTATTTTTTACCCTGCTTTTATTACCTAGCAAGCTTTATTTAAACTTTAATATAACCACCTTTAAAAATATTAAAAAAATAAAATTAAAAATTAAATTTATTAAATATGCTAGTACCCTTATTTATTTAAATATTTTTTATATAATAAGCTACTTATTAAAACATCTTATTAATCCTATAAATTATTATTAACATGTAGTAAATTAACTTATTTTTTATTTTTATAACACACGCTTTTTTACTTTTAAATACTCCGGTTTAAATAGCTTTAAAAATAAGATTTTTATTAAAAAATATAAAATTTATAAGTTATACTTTAATATAATATTTATAAATTATTTTAATTAATTTTTTAGCATAGGCTATATTTATAAGTTATATAAGGGTTTAATTAAATAAAAGGTTATAAAGTAATGCTTAATTACCACTTTTATTATTAAAGTTAAGTTACTTACTTTTATTAAGGCCTTTAAAGCAACCTACTAGTAGTAAAAAGTTTTTAAAACCATGTAATTTAATTTTTAATACTAACTTTTAATTTAATATAATAATAAATAAATAATTAATATTTTTATTAATATTAATATATAACTTTGCTTAAAGCTTTACTATATTAATATTTATAATTTATGGCTTAGGTAGGAAGTTTAGCATAAAAACCTTTATATTAAATAAACTTTTATTAATTAAATAATTATAAATAGCCTTATAAAGGCACTTACTAAATAATAATACTAAAAATTTATTAAAAAACTAGGTTTAGTAAATATTTCTAGCCTTATTTTTAACTAATTTAAAAGTAAGTAGGCATTAAGGGGGCGTGTTAGCTAATAATAAAGTTTACTTAATTTAATAAAAAAGTATTATAATACTTTAATAGTATTTAAGTGCCTTAGGTAGTTTTAATTAAAATATTATAATACTTATTATTAAATTACTTACTTGTATAACTATAATATTTATAATTTTTTAAATATTATAAAGTATTAGTAAAAGTATTTAAAATTCTTACTATTTTTAGGAGCTTAAATTATTTATAAAAACCCTAGTTAGCTCCAGCTTTTAAATATTATTGCGTTCCTTATTTAATTCTCCAGTATCTATTTAATTAATAGCTTTCCTTTACACGGTATTCAAAGGGCCTCATATAAATAGTACTTTTTAGCCTATATATAGGCTAATTAATAACTAATAGTTTTTTTATTTTAAATATAAAAAACTTTATAAAATAAAGTATTAAGGCCTTATTATACTTAATAGCTTAATTTTCTTACTTTAAGGCCTATATAAAGGCAAGATTAATAATATTAATATATAATATTAAAGTAATATTAAGTAGTACTTAAGGTAATTAAATAAAGGTTAGGAACCTTTATATTTATATAAAAATAGTATTTATAAAGGTAAATATAATATTATTATTTTATATAATAAAATTAAAGGCAAGGTTTTTTTAAAGTAAGCTATATTTAATATTTATTTATTAATATTATATATATTAATAAAGCAGGCTTTTAGTTTAATTTTAAAAAATTAAAAATTATTTATATTTAAGCTATACTAGTGTGTTAAATTAATTTTAGTTATAATTAAATATAAAATAGCTATTTTTTTAATAAATATAATAATATGCCTCCACAAAAACTAAATATTTTAATAATTTAATATTTAACTAATAGTAGTAAAGTAATATTTAAGTAAAGTATTTATTTAAATATTTTATAAAGCCTAATATTTAACCCTAAACCTTATATATTTTTTTTTAACTAATAGTTTATATAATTTATTTTTACCTAAAAATTAATTAAATTTAGCTCCGCGAAGCCTAGTTAAAAATACTTAAAAATTAAGTAATTAAAAATATTTATAAAATTTATTTAAAAAAAGGTTATTTAATAATTAAATTATGTTTTTTAAATAGCCTTTTAAAAAAATAGTTAATAGCTAGCTAGAAGTTTTAAAACCCCCTTTTAAATAAGTAATATTAGTTTAAGTAGTGGTAAAAAATAATATAACTAAAGTTTATATAAAAGTTTAACTTACCAGCCCTGGAGTTTATATAACCTTAATTTAATATTTTTTTTTATAAATAGCTACTTTCTTGCCTAATTAATTAATAAATTTTTCTAGTATTAGTATATAGCCTTATAATTAGTTACTTATAATATAATACTTTATTTATTAAAATTTTTTTTTTTAATTTTATTAATATAAAGTGCAAAGATTTATAAGGCTTTTTTTATATATTTATTACTAGTATATTTTTTTTTATTATTTTAATATAAAGCTATTTAAAATATTTATTAACAAGCTATATTAATTACTTTTTTATTATTTTTTAGCTATAAGTATCCCTTTTATAGGCGTGTTTAAAATTAACTATAACTTTATTTTAAAACTAGCATAGGCTATTACTAGTTATATATTTTAAAATAAAAATATTATAACTTATAATAAGTTATAAATTATTATTAGCAAAGTTTTTTTTAGCTTATTATTATAATTAAGGCTAAAAGGTAACTTATAAAATAGCTTATAAAATAGCCTTTAAAAGCTTTATATTTAATTATACTAAAAATATAGTACTAGCTTATATTATAAAATTAAAAAATATTAAAGGTACCTGTGCCTATAAAAAGGCTTTAAGTATAATAATTTACTAAAATAATTAAGGGTTAACTTAAAAGTTAGCCTAGGTATTTTTTATTTTTAGCTATATTAAAAATATAATATTAACTTATATTATAAAATTAAAAGGTGCTATAAGTACCTATATTATTAAAAAGGCTATTAGTATAGTAAAGTAATAAAAATTAATATAAAAAATAAATTATTAAAATATTATTATTTAAGGTATTACTAGTGGCCCAGGCAATAGCGGTAATATAGGTATTAAATTAATTAAAAATTATATTAATTATTATTAAAAGTTAAAAAGTATTTTAATAAATAAATTTTAAGTATTATTTATAATATAAAAGTTGCTTTATATATAAATTTTAGTATAAAGTAATTTTTTTTAAAATATTAAAATATATTATAAGGCTTTAATAAATATAATACTTACTTAACCATGCTAGCGCTATGTTAAGCCTATTTAAATTAAGTAATAGGCATGCTTAACAAGCTTAATACGTGCTTAATTTTTTAAACCGCCTTTTTAATTAGGACGGCCCTCGGGCGCGCTAAGCCAAATTAAATTAAGCATGCCGTTAAGCCTACGTGGCAGAACCTCTCTATTGCAGGATCAGAAAACCCAACAAGAGGAGCAAGATCGGAAGGACGAACCCGATCGATGGCGCGGACACATCTCCCGAGGAGGAAGCTGGAAAGGGGACAGGACACGATTCAGGGAACAGCAGCAGCCTTGTGGGGCCACCTTTTCTCGCAGTGACATCACCACAAAATCACTCCCCTCAGCTCACCCAACTCCCAACTCCTGCAGGCAAACATGGCTTTTCCCCCTTCACTTCCACAACCTCATCTGCGAGAGAATGGTTGAAGCGCAGAACAGAGCCGGGGCCATCTCCTCCGAGGACTGGGCGCACACCAGCTACTCAACCGCCCACCGGCTACGCGAGGGACGTGACACCAGTGTGCGGGTGTGTGGTGAGTTATCAGCAATTGCACTTGAGCTCGAGCTTGCAGGATACTGATATGACTTCCGATAGAGGACGGCCGTCTCGATATCAATCTCTGCATCCACCAACCATGGATACAACCCATTGTGCGCCATACGAAAGAACACCCGTACCCGCGAGACTCGGTGCACCGGTGCGCATCCTTCACCCTGAATCGAGGAGAGGAATACCACCTGATCAACTTGAATATCGTAATACAAGTCGTCGGGTCGCGGGGCGACATCCAGCCTTTTCTCGCGATCGGAAAGCAGCTCAAAGCGCACGGCCACCGCGTCCGCCTCGCGACACATCTCTCGTTCCGGGAGCCGGTTGAGAAGGAGGGGCTTGAGTTCTTTAACATCGGAGGAGATCCGGCGGAGCTTATGGCGTTTATGGTGAAGAATCCAGGTCTCATGCCGGATCTGCGGACAATACGGAGCGGCGCGATCCGGATGCGACGGAGAGAGATGAAGGCGATATTTTCGGGATGTTGGAGGTCGTGCTTTGAGACTGGCGATGGGACTGGTATCGAGCATCATATCAATGACAACCCGGATCCATTGAGCGGGCAGCAGGGCGTGGATTACAGGAGCGTGCCGTTTGTTGCGGATGTGATTATCGCCAATCCTCCGAGTTTCGCGCATCTCAGTTGTGCGGAGAAGCTGGGGGTCCCGTTGAATATGATGTTTACGTGAGTCTTACTTTGCCGGTGGTGTCTTGTTATGAAAGCTGATGGTAGTAGCATGCCTTGGTCCGCTACGCAGGCTTTCCCGCATCCTCTGGCGAACGTGCAGTCGCAGCATACGAAGCCATCTGTCGCCAACTTTGCGTCGTATGCGATTGTGGAGATCATGATGTGGGAAGGACTGGGAGATTTGATCAATCGCTTTCGGAAACGAGAGCTCGGGCTGGACCCGTTGGACGCGATTCGAGCCCCGAGCATTGCGCACCGGCTGCAGATTCCGTATGCTTATTTATGGTATTCTCGCACCGAAAATCGAGGCGTAGAGCGATACTGACTTCGCTTAGGTCCCCCGCCCTTCTCGAAAAACCTCTCGACTGGGGCAACAACATCGATGTTGTCGGCTTCTCTACACTCCCTACGGCACAAGATTACAAACCCCCAGAGGACTTGGATAAATTCCTCAACTCTGGGCCTGCGCCAATCTATATTGGCTTCGGCTCCATTGTCGTTGACAATCCTAAAGCGCTAACTGACATCGTCTTCGAAGCGGTGCAGAAGGCTGGTGTCCGCGCGGTAATCTCAAAAGGCTGGGGAAACATCGGTGCCGATAAGGCCGCGTCCGACTCGATCATGATGATAGACAAGTGCCCGCACGACTGGCTCTTCCAACATGTCAGCTGTGTCGTACATCACGGTGGCGCGGGCACAACGGCCGCGGGACTGACCCTTGGCAAGCCCACCGTCATTGTACCCTTCTTCGGCGATCAAATGTTTTGGGGATCGATTGTTTCACGAGCTGGGGCCGGGCCCGATCCAATTCCTTACAAGAGGCTCGACGCCGATAAGCTGGCCGAGGCAATCCAAGTCGCGCTGAAAGACGAAACAAAGAAAAAGGCGGAAGAGATCGGGGAGCAGATGCGGTCTGAGCGCGGCGCTTGCAATGCGGTATGCAGCTTCTATCGTCGTCTCGATGTTAAGAGTCTACGGTGTTCCCTGTGCCCGCATCGGCCCGCTGTGTGGTGGGTGAAGCACTCGCATATCAAGCTCAGTGCGTTCGCGGCGACCGTCCTCGTCGAAACGGGGCTCGTAAAGCCGCATGATCTTGTCCTGTACAACGCCCCGTCCCCGTCATCGTCTGCATAAGCTAACAACTGCAGGTATCGCGCAAAAGAATACGACACCAGCCGCAACCCGAGAGGCCCCCTCACCGCGGGCGCCGAAATCCTGTACGGCGTCATCACTGACTTTGTCGCTGCTATGGCCGCTATGCCCACAGATATGGTGGAGATGTTCCGGGGGAATCACCGACACGGCCGGAGACATTCCAAAGGACATTTTAGGCACGGGGGGAGAAAGCCACCCTCGCCGGTTCGCAAGTGGAAAAAGGAACATTATGGACAACGCCATCTGGAGCGCGAAGCGGCATCAATCAATGACAGTCAGAGTCAGAACCAAGGGCATCGAAGCAGTTCTGAGGCTGAGAAGAGTACGGATAGGACCGAGAATGATGCGGCGAGTAGCTCGGCCTCATCGTCACTGACGTATGCGTCCGCGAGAGAGGAAGCATCGCACGCATCTCAGACCAACGTCCCGAACACAATCCCCTCTTCCAACCCTGGCGACGATACTGAAAGTACTGGGGATACTGACGTCGGAATCGCCGCGCTCCCCGTCATCTCCAAGGCCTCAACAAGTGAAGACATCACGGACGACATGCAAACTCTAAGTCTGGAAGCTACACTTCACCGGCAGCAAACACGGGACAAATCAATCGACACCCGCGAAGTGCTTACGGACGCTCGGTACCACATCGTCCGGGCCGGGAAGCACATCCTCGACTGGATACTCTTACTTCCGACCGACCTGACGTTGAGCTTCTCGAAGGGGTTCCACAATGCACCGAAACTTTATCACGATACTATGGTGCAGGAGATACCGACTGTGAGGGGTATGAGAGGTGGGCTACGTGCTGCTGGGACGGTATGTTTACCACAAACCACTGCTATTGACGCACGGAAGCTGACGATATGCAGGAATTCACCCAGGAACTGTACCAGGGTGTCACCGGTATAGTGACTCAGCCTAAGCACGGTCGGAAAGAGTCCGGGACGAAAGGAATGCTGAAAGGCGTGGGCAAGGGCGCCGGCGGTGTTGTTCTCAAGCCGATTGCAGGTATGCCTACTCTTCTCGACTGACTATGCTCATCCTATACTGACTGCCTACCAGGACTTTGGGGTCTCGCCGGATACCCACTTGAAGGACTACACAAGACGCTCCGGAACAGTTTATCACGGAGCAAGATCCGCGATATACTCTCTTCACGCATTCAGCAAGGGATGGGGGAAATGGTCGCGGCATCGCCGGAAGAACGCGCAGCGGTAATTACACGATGGAACGAAATTCATTCTCAGGGCGCGAACGCACATACATGATACCCAGTTTATTTCCTGCTCTTAATGCTATTTGTATATATGCGGCTTCTCTATGTTTAGCTCTCGTTGACAAAAGTCACGTTGCCACCCTCCAAGCTCACCCGCGTGGCATACATCGCCCTCCCACCCGAGGGATCCTGGTTGTTGATGTTCGCGTGGAAAACAAACTTCGTCCCATCGGCTGAGACATCCGCACCGCCAGGACCACTCAGGGGCCCAACATCGCTGGAGTCGCCCGGCGCCACGACCCGCCCGCGACGAGTCCATGGGCCCGCAACAGACGGCGCAGTCGCATACTTCGAGTCATAGTCCGGGCTGTTGAACATATGCGACGAATAGAGGAGGTAATAGAACCCGTCTGCTTTGACGATGCTCGGTGCTTCAACGAGCGGCCCGTCGCTCTCGTCGCGGTCGATCAGCGTCACTGCGTCGCCGACTTTGCTGTACCCGTTGTCTGCGACTTCTTGCAGGACCAGGGGGGTGGGGTGGTAGTTCTCGTCGTCGGTATTCAGCGCACTCCCGTCGACTTTATACGCGATATAGAGGGTGCCGTCGTCGTCGCGGAACCCCGACGCGTCGATGGCCCCGCCTTGGGAGAGCGGGCACGCCCAGGCTTCGTCTCCGTCCCCGTCCCCGTCGACAGCGGTATACGGGCCTTCGATGGCGGAGGATATCGCGACGCCAAGACAGTGTCGGCGTGAGTCTGCGCGCGGGATCGCCGAGTAGTACATGACGTATTGGCCGTCGTCCTGCTTTCTCAGTCTACTGAACCTTAACGAGGACCGAAGGAAGAGTACGTACCCGCTGGAACACGTCAGGCGCCCAGGGCTGCGGGTCGGAGGCTACCCAGGCGGGGAACGGTCCGGGCAGAGCATCGTGGTCGTCGAGGTATCCCCAGGAGTCGAAGTCGGAGGAGTGCGCGACTTGCACGTTGATGTCGCCTGAGGTCGTTGCGAAGGCGTACCACCCGTCTGGGGTCTGGATGATGGCTGGATCGGCGAAGTTGCGGTTCAGGACGCGAGCTGGTTCCGCGGTTGAGAGGGTGGAGCTGAGGGTTAGGGAGAGGAGGAGAAGTGTTGAAGTTGGAGCTTGAGCTTGGACCTGCACCATGATGAGTTTCTTTCTTTCTGTCTTTCTGCTTTTTGATGATAGACGGAGTTCAGGGGCGCACCTGTCAGGGAGCAGCGACTTATACCCTTTCCTTCAGATGTATATTGCTTTTGTGATGTTCAACAGAAACTCAAATACTCATGGATCTCCGAGTCCACAATCAATAAACAACGTCATTGTGTCCATCTTGCCTGCATCGAGTTGGATGTTGCGATGGACAGGCTGTGCGGGATCTGGTTGGCTGACGGCTGACGCTGGACCCTGCTGCCACTAGGGAAGAGGCTAAGCCCAATCTGGCGCTAGGCTGCACAGCCACAGCTTACGGCAGCTTGGCAGCGTCTCTTCTTAACGAGGCCCATCCCGCTGCGGCGCTGCCCCTCCTCAGCCTCATCTCGCTTTCTCCTCTTCTGCGATCCATCCATCGCGTCCTTCGTTTTTCGAGTCGACATCGCTATCTTTATCGCATTATTGTTTATTGCACCAGCATGTCCTATCCTCCACCCAACTACGGCCACGGCCACCCCCAATACACCCAGCCCCCGCCTCCGCAGGGCTACCCCGCCGGTCCCTACCCTCCGTCCTCCTATCCCGCACCCGGCCCCGGTCCCTCGCACGGCCATCCCATCCCAGCGCCCTACGGTCACAGCGGCGGCAGTCCCGCGCCCCCTGGAAGCGCCGGCGGATACCCTTCTCCCGCGTCGCATCCCTCCCAATCGCCGTACCAGCCGCCGCCGGGCCCCTACCAGCAATACCCTCCGCAACCAGGCCATCCCGCCCAACCCCCATACCAGCAAGGCCACCCCGCGCCATACGGCCAGGCCCCTCCGCCCTGGGGCGCCGCTCCCCCGCCCGGTCAATACGGAACACCCCCTCCTCCCCACGCCGCGCCGTACCCCCCGCAAGGCGCATACCCACCGCAAGGATACCCTCAGGGCTACCCGCCTGGCCCGCCTCCAGGAGCATACGGTGCACCAGGCGGCTACCCACCAGCAGCACCAGTCCCAGCCCCTCCATCACTAGGCTACGACCCCGACCAGCGCGCATCCGGCGACGCAAGCAAAGAAGCCGATGCCCTGCGCAAGGCAATGAAAGGCTGGGGCACAGACGAGAAGATGCTGATCGACGTGCTGGCCAAGCCAGACCCGCTCGTCATGTCGTTGATCCGACACACATACATGAACAAGCACGGGCGGAACCTCGAGAAGGACCTGAAGAGCGAACTGTCCGGCGACTTCGAGATCATCATGCTCTCTCTCGCGGCGGGCCCATTAGGCCAAGACATCGCGTACCTCCGCGATGCCATGTCGGGCATCGGGACCGACGAGACGGCCATCAACGACGTGCTGATCGGCCGCTCGAACGCGGACCTCCGCGCCATCAAGTACGGCTATGTGCAGCGGTACAACAAGGCGCTCGTCGACGACATCAAGAGCGATCTCTCCGGCAAGACGGAGAAGTTTTTCCTCATGCTCCTTAACGCGGCGCGCCCGGAGCGCGGGACGTACTTTGACCAGGCGAGCGTCGACAAGGACGTGCACGAGCTGCACCTCGCGACGAACGCGAAGACCGGCACCGACGAGCTCAGCGTCGCGGCGGTGTTCCTGGCCGCGAGCGACCAGAAGCTCGCGGCCGTCTCGCAGGCTTTCGAGGCAAAGTACCACATCTCGCTGGAGAAGACGATCAAGGATGAATTCAGCGGGCATCTGGAGAAAGCGCTCCTTGCGATTCTCGCGCGCTCAAAGGACCCGCTTAAGTTTGATGTTGAGACCATGCTGCATATTGTGCCGCCGGGTGGTGCGAAGGCGGATATCAAGAGGTTGATTTACTGGGCTGTGAGGTTGCATTGGAACCCGCCGTATCTGGTGCAGGTTAAGGAGGCGCTGCAGGTGCGGACGGGCAGTGATTTTGGACGCAGGATTCGGGGCGCTTTGCCGTCTGGGGATTTGGCGGAGGCCGTGCTGCGGGTTTGGTCTTGATTTGTATTTATTTTCTTCCTCCCCTTCCCTTGCTTTGATATCTTCATTTCTGTTTTGTACGCATGGATGCTGGGTGGTGAGGTAGTATGCCTGGATGTACGTATGTAACGACTCATGATCTAGCTTATGCATTCCTATCTCCAACTCCTAACCGGTAAAGTAAAAGTAAAAAGTCGCGCTATGCTACCTACAACATGCCTACATATACATCACATCATCTCAGACATCAGACATCAAACACCATCCGTACTCAAGTCGCAACCGGCACCGCCGCCGCAACCTTCAGCCCCAGCCGCTGCGCATACTGCCTGCCCCGCACGGTGATCGATTTCGCTGGACCCTGCGTCGCCAACTGGGTCTGGCTAGCGCTCCGAGCAAGCGGCTTCGCGGTCTTGGAGACGTGCTCGTGGACGTGCACGTGCACGGGGATCTGGCTGGTGCTGGCGTTTCGGGGCGCTATGGTCGAGAGCACTTTTTCTTCTTCGTTCTCCGGGGCCGTTGTGTATGGAGGGGGAGGAGGCGTGGATGAGCTCTCACTGGAGGGAGTGGAGGGAGGTGGTGCGGGTGGTGATGTGCCGGGCGTAGGTGTAGGGGTGTTCCCGTGTGGTGATGGTGAGGACGTTGAGGTGGAGTTCCGCCGTCGCACGAGGCCGCGGACCGCGCCGACGAGCTTGTCTTTTATCATGATGGGGCTCGAGGTCGAGGTCGAGGTCGAGGTCTTTGACACTGTACCCCCAGCTGTCCCCGTAGTTGTAGGAGCCGGAAAACCAGTGCCAGTGCCAGTGCCAGGCACAACCTCCTCCTCCTCCACGCTACACTCATCCTCATCCTCATCCCCATCACACTCAAACCCCGCGTCCCCCCACCGGGCATGCATATCGATATCGACGTCTTCGGCCTCGCAGCCCGCAAACAGCACCTCCCCCCGCCCAAGCCCATACCCAACCCCATACCCATATTCATCATGATACCCGTACATATCCTCCTCATCGCTCTCGCTCTCGCTCTCGCTCTCAAGAACCTCCGCAAGATACCGCTTCATGTCGGCCTGCGCTTCGAACCACGAGCGTGTAAGCAGCTTGTGGTGGCCTAGGCAGCGGCGGAGATCGGGGTCCGGCGTTGAGGACTCGGCGGCGAGTTTGCGTTGGGATAGGTTGGCGAGGCGGGTTGCGCGGGTGGTGAGGGTGGGGTTTGGTCTTGAGGGGCTTGTTGTGCTTGTGGTGGTGGTCATTCCGGCGGCGAGGATTGGGGGGATGCGTCTGTTTGGTTTTGTTGGGGGGTTTTTGGTGGGCTTGGGCGTGGTGTTGGTGTTTGTGTAGAAGGGGGGTGGGGGGGTTGGGGAGCGGGCGAGGAGGAAGGCGGGCGGGTTCATTTTGATGGAGACCGAGGGATTGAGAAGTGGGCGTGGTGATGGTGAGGTGTAGATGTAGATATGAGATGAATGATGGTGATGGTGGTATGATGCAAGGTAGGCAGGGTCGAAAATATCCACGAAACAATAGAACAAAGCCTCAATGCCAGTCTGTGCTTTGTGGCTGTCTTTTCCACATCTCAGGCAGGAAACAAGAGCTCTTTATACCATCAACACCCCCTACCTCCAAGCTTGAACCTACGCATCGGCCGACCCAATCGCACTGCCGAGATGCACCAGTGGCATGACGAAAGCTAAAGCACACGCCAGCGCGGATCCCCAGATCCCGACCTATCACCGTGCAGAGGGCGCCGATTTAGCGGCCACGCCACGGGTGATCCATGTCATTGTCAAGGTATATTGCGTTACCTTGGCCCGGGCTATGGTCTAGAGCTGCGGGGGCGGCTATGGTAGGCTGGACGGAGTTGGTGGCGAGGGGTCTGGCCTGGTGCCGTCATTGACTGTCAACTCACCAAAGGGATCTAGACTCTCGCGATTCGGGGGTGTTGATTCGTCGGGGGGTGAGATAAGCTTGGTTGTTGGTTGTGGTTCGTAGGTCTATGTTGGTGGTCAGGGGGGTTCCGTGGTTGGGGATTGACTTGGTAAATGGGATAGGCTCGATTAGATGACAGGACGAATTAGATTAATAGGTCAAGTACAGCGAATCATATCACATCAAGTACGAAAGTAAAGCCAGCCCCATCACCCACAGCGACGCCCGCTGTATACGTATAGCCATCCCCCCGTTCTCATCACTCCGCCTGACAGCAGTCACATTCCCAACCCACGCATTCCAGTTCGTGTAATTCCCCGGACAGCTATCCTCAATCCTCCTCCCCTTCATCTGCGCCAACAGCTCCCCGTCCCTCGACAACGTCACCTCAACCTCCCCAGTCCTCCCATCAAACGGAGCAGACCCATGATACACCCCCTTCCCCCCATCCGGCGTATCACTCCAATCCGCGCTCCTATTCACACCCCCAATCGCAACCCTCACATCCGCCCACCCATCCAGCACCGCCGAATAAAACACCTTATCCTGCAACACCTCCCCGGGCTTCATAAGCACCTCACCCGAGCTCTCGCTATTCCCGCTCGTCCCCCCATCATCACACCTATCCCCCGGTGAAAGGCGATACCAAACACTGAGATTCTCCTCTTCAACCTCCACCTCCCCCTTCCCCGTCCCATTCTTATACTCCCCAATCAAGAAAGGCAGATTACTCCTCCACCCATCATGCGGCATGTCCGCCACATAATCAAACGGCGCGCCCCGGTCAATAACACCCGTCGCATTGCGCCTCACAGGCCCGATATAGTGGCTCTCGCCGTAGTCATTCCAGGTCAGGATCTCGACGTACTCAGGCTGCAATTCGAGAACTTGCTGCCACCGCGTATACCACAGGTCGTCGCCGCGCCAGACCCAGTTCTTGTTGAACTGCCGCAGGTTCGTGTAGAACCAGGGACTCACGGGCATGATGTATGCCTTTGAGTCCAGCGCGGACATGTACGCCTCGTCCATGGTGGTGTTCATGCTCTCGGCACCGTACGGCCACGCATCCCAGCTCATCAAGCCGTCGATTGAAGAAATTGACGAAGCGCGTTGTGGACCCGCAGACGTCCAGTCCGGTATGAATGCGCAGCATGTTTCGCTCCCAACATTCCGGGCAACGCGCTCCTTGATATCGGCCCAGTCGGGCGCGGCCTCGAAGCCCTCGAATGTACCGACGAGGGCTCTGCCATCGGTGTGTCGGAAGTATGCGGGGTGGGTGGTGTAGTTCGATAGCAGGGCGATGACTTGGTCTTTTGGCCAGGAGGCGTTGCCGGAGTAGTCGAGGGAGAAGAAGAGCTTGAAGTTGGTTTCTGCGGCGGCGGCGAATGCGTGGTGGAAGGAGAGGGCGTTTTCGGATTGGTTGAACCCCGCGTTCAGGGCGAAGGCGTCGAGTGAGGAGGCTTTTGCGAGTGTTATGTCGGATTTCCAGTCGGTTAGGGTGTAGTTTTGTGTGTTGGCGACCTAGATTGGAAGGGTTAGTTTGGTTGGGATGGGGTGTTAGGGGGATGGCGGAGGTACCATGAAATGGGCGAAGACGGATTTTGCTTGGATCTGAGGCAAGCTGGAAGACAAAAGAGCTAGTATGGGCAGGCCCCATGCTCGAAGAGGTGACATTGTGTGAGTTGGACTGAGGTTATGTGGTCATATGGTAGGGTATCTGGGCTTCAACTGGAGAAACAGAAAAGCAGCAAAACCAAAACTTGAGAAGGTCTTCTATTTCAAAGGACGTCTACAGTACTAATACCTTTCCACCATTCCCACCCTCAGCATCCCATCCCTCCCTCGCAGAAACTATCTACTCGGCGCCACCATTAGACTATGCTTACGAACCCGTTGAGGGTCATGGCTGAGACAGGTTTCTTCGGCAGCGATATGCATGAGATACCGCTTCTTTAACTCGTCTGCTGCAAGGGAAAGAGGGTATCAAGGTTAGGCTATTCGCTGCAATATGGTGGATAATTGGGGATATGTCCGATCTGATATGAGATGCGTTGGCCCCGTAAGCGCGGATGTGCTCCGATCCTGAGACAAAGTCTCACTGCCAACGTCTTTTGCTCCAACACCCAGCTCGGGCTCTATTTTTAGTTGAGTCATAGTAGGATCGAGTATTTTCATCAGGGTGGGTGTAGATAAGAGATCTGAGGAGGGTATGAGTTAAGTTTCTGTCAGTACATCCATAAAGCGAAGGCTACCATACGGAACCACCTAGGTAGACCGCTATCTGCAGGGCGAAAAACACAAAGTCTGAAAGACGACTGATCAGAATACCACAGTTCATAGGCACTGATCAAGAACATTGAATTTAGGGTTTACGTGGTCCATGCAAATCGGATGCGATGCTGCTGCGCGTTGGAGGGAAGTGCCTTGCCTCGCAACAGCATAGTCCAAGCCCAACGTTCGTTAGAACGAAATACCGAATGCTCGGCACGAACATATCATATCCCGAGGCCATATTCTCTTCCTTTCGGACTTGGTCAGGAATAGCAAGCGATCGGTCCCAAGGAGGCTGAGGAGGCTTGAGCCCGAGTCTTGCAGCTGATCCCGGAGATCTCCCAAATCCCAATGAATCCAAAGCCCTAATCGACTCGACGCCCACTTTGCGATTCTTCCGGTCGCCCCAGAATCCATTCTCCAACTACCTCAAGGGAAGTTTTTCGATCAACAGATTTGTCCTGATTGCGGATGTTTATCTTCGAAGCGATACCTAGTGCACCAGCCCGCAGTACCATGGTAGTGGCGACAAGTAAAGAATGGTAAGCAGCGCTGTGGTTGAGCATTAGAGCCACATAAACAGCTTTGTGCATGGTAAGCTGTCAACCACATGCGCCATCCCCCAGCAGGGCCTTCAGATACGTAGGTGTTTTTGTCCGCTTCGGGTTGCGGCTTCTGTGGCTTGGACAAGTACAGCCCTAAGCGATGCCGACAGGTTTTACCTTTTAAGCTGTCAGATCCCATAGTACCTATTCGGCCGGCAACTCCGGCGTCTGGAAATTGACAAGCGAAGCCCAACCAAATACCGAAAATTATTCTTAGAAAATCGGGCGCTGCACCACCACATTCGAAAGCAGGCTACTTCGTATGTGGCTGTCCGTCGCCACACCTCGTCTGCGAGATAACGCCATGCCTTTTCCAAGTGGATGGACCAGCCGTGGGAGATAAGGCCCTTGGATCGTGCTGACGAGACGACTCTCGTAGACAACCGTTGTAGATCGCATGTCAGATCCGATCGCACGGTGACAGCCGAACCCGCCCGAGTCCGACATATCGCCGCCCGACCGAGCCATTATTAGGCGACCAGCGCACTAACTGTGGAACATCGGCTTGACACCTGGGTCGTGCAGGAGCTCTGTTCCATGGAATTGTCTAGCGGGGGATTTGTCTGGAACTCAAAGCTATGCTGGCAATTTACGGCTGTGGGGGGGTAGGAAGATAAGAGGAAATATATATAGTTGTCTGAGCAAGTGTCGATCCACGTTCCTGCCATGAGCAGATCGTGTCCGTTCCTCCGAGTCAACGGCCGAAATTGACTCGCTACTTTCTTACCGAAACCAATACTAAGTCAATGATTGGGAAGATCTGGCTGTAGTTCTGTTCGGGCACTGTGGACACCCAGCCCATGACGTCACCACTCGAGACATCGCCGCCATTATTCATCCTTGACAAATATCTTAACTACCAATACGCATAAGCTATTCTAATCATGGGTCTCCAAGATCTCAATATTCAGCCAGCCCGGAACATCGACCTCCCTCAACTCATCGACATTGACATCGTCCGAGGCGAGAACCCTATACGGTGGCAGATCAGCTAGGGCTATCGCTTCTGGGGTATGCACGGAAGGAAACACGCGAAAAGAACACGGAGTGGACATAGACATACTGCATGTAATGAACCGGCGGCGTCGTTAGCGCCGAGTCAAAGTCATCTGGGATCTCGAGCCCTTTGCCCTTGTAGATGTCGCGGATCCTGGCGGAGATCGAATCGGTTAGTTTTGGCTTTGAGGCATATCATGTAACAATCGGCTATGGATATTTCGAACAGAATGGGATTCAGGATTATGGAGGTAAAAGAGGAAGGGGTGGATGGAATAAATAATCGACGTACTTCTCTGCAAGACCCTTCCCGCCCCCGAACTGGTCGTACGCCGGCACGCTGGCGAAGCGGATGTCGAAGGTCTGAAGAAGACCTTATTAATGGGAAATTCGCTAAAGCGTGGAAAACTGAGAGGAAATTTGTAACTAACTAGTTCTTTCGTCATTACGATTGATAGGCTTGGTGGATGTGGATGGGTTGGTGGAATCGAAGTCACTATCTTGAATGTTAGAGAGCGTAAAGCGCTTATAAGCTCGTGGCCATGGATTTAAGTTTTGCTTTCCTTGGATGCATTTTGATCTCCAGGTGTTCATTGGTGGAAGGTGAGATGCATGCGATGACCAGACTCGTGCTAGGAGGGTCACGGGGACAAGAAGCCCTAGAGGAAGATCCTAACACAGATGCTGAGTTTGTAGTTGGTTGTTTTGATTTGATTGATAAACTCTGTTTCCTCTAAACTGTCCCTTTAGGTAGGGCTACTCTACCTACCATAATTTACTTGCTTGATGTTAATGGATGAGGGAGCGACGGGCGCAGACTGGACTGGCCGACGCATTCGCATGGGTATCTTGAACAGCTATCGCACGTATAACAGGATGGTAGTTGGCTTACGGAGTATTTTCCCAGGTCCCCAACGATTGCATCAGCGCGGAGTTCAAGTTTATCCCTGGACGTACACGCGTTCAATGGAATGGCCTCGGCATAACAACGCGAAGTAATGGAGGCAACATGCCAGCTCCAGCTGCCGTCATTCAATCTTCAGGATATGTGCTATTGTGAGTGTCAATTTTCATCCCGCTGAGGCAGTTGATTTAGCACCAGAATTACACAACGGAGGAAACGGTGCAACCGGGTGGAGTGGATAGACCAGACGCTTCGTATCCATGCGGGCGTAATCAACTACCAGATCGGACGGTTATCAGAACTCTGATCGGATCGGTCGATGGGGCATCTGCTCGACAGGTGTCTGTGTATAGGTAGGTTGGGTACACTCAATTGGAAGGGAACTGCGCGCAGGGGTTGTTTCTCGAAGTGGTGAAGGTGAATTGGATGCGTCGGAGGGCTGGCCGGACTTGTCTGTGCGTCGGTTTTATCAGATCAAGCGGGAACTCTAGGTAAGGTTTGATGTATTGAGGCATTTGGAACCATTGCTGCGGTTTGCAAAGTTGGTGATCGAGGTTCGATACTCAACGCTGCGTGTAGTGACTCTGAGAGTGATATCGTCGTATGGTATTCCGCCGTCGCCGAGTAGACCTACCTCATCAACCCAAATGGAAAGTAACAGTTTTGTGAGCATTAATTCGACGCATCAGCGACTATATTGGGACTTGAGGCTCCCATTGATCGGCCAGAAAGAGGTAGAAAAAATGTGTGCATGAGGGAATTAAGAGAGGGAAGCTCTCAGAGCACTGGAGCAGCCGGGTCGTTCTCGAATCTTGTTTGCCTCCTTCACCTTCAAGAATCAAGGAGCGCGCAGTGGATATCACGATCGGGCTGGTGGATACGGACAGATTGGTGTGGATATTGCTTAGCAGCGTCTGGACCTCGGCAGCGAGGCCAGATCGAAGACAGTGGTACTTGCTGACTGGATTGAATAGGGGCAAAGGGGCATTGAGACATATTGAATATAAAGCTGTATATGAACATTCTAGACTGATCATGCCATACGCGGACCTGCCGAGGTCGAAAGCCCGCTACAAACCGGTTCAGGGACGTGTCCCTGCGCTAGCCATCTGGCAGACGGTGACCCGTAAGGTGAGCCCACATGTCTTGGGTCATCAGGTCCTTAACGGGTATTAAGACAAATGAAACTCCAGATGAACTCATCTCTCCATATTAGACGGTATTGCCTTGCCGCCGGTTAATATCAAGCACTTTGGTCAGCAGGAGCCCTGAAACGCCAAGGATCTGGTATAGATTAAGTGGGCATCAAGAGGTCTGTCAGTGGTCGGACTGGCCTGACAGGCGAGTGCCAAGGGACTAGAGCCAGCCTAAGCAATCTGATGGGCCGGTGTGAGGCAAAAGTTGGGTTTTGTATAGATGAAACCCGCTCTTGGCAGGGGTCTGCTGCTTCAGATGCTCAGGGCCAGGGCCAGCTATAAGAAGCCTGTTCCTTGTCAGTCCTTGCTTGGTCTTCTGCTCATCACTGTCTTTATTGTCATTCTCTATTCACTCTTTCCTTCTTGTCCAGGTGACACACACTCTCTTTACAACTTCCACACCATACCTTCACACTCCTTCACAATGAAGACCTTCGGCCTCCTCGCTCTGGCAGCGAGCGCTAAACTCGTCGCATCCCACGCCACCGTCTTCGCCGTCTGGATCAACGACGAGGACCAGGGCCTCGGCAACAGCGCCGATGGCTACATCCGCACGCCCCCCAACAACAACCCCGTCCAGGACGTGACCTCCACCGACATCACCTGCAACGTCAACGGCGACCAGGCCGCCGCAAAGACCCTCGAGGTCGCTGCCGGCGACAAGATCACCTTCGAGTGGCACCACAACTCCCGCGACTCCTCCGACGACATCATCGCCTCCTCCCACAAGGGCCCCGTCCTCGTCTACATGGCTCCCACCGAGGAGGGCTCCGCCGGCTCCAACTGGGTCAAGATCTACGAGGACGGATACTCCGCCTCCGACGACACCTGGGCCGTCGACACCCTCATCGCCAACAAGGGCAAGCACTCCGTCACCGTCCCCGACGTCCCCGCCGGCAACTACCTCTTCCGTCCTGAGATCATTGCCCTCCACAGCGCCAGCAGCGAGGGCGGCGCCCAGTTTTACATGGAGTGTGTTCAGTTCAAGGTTACCTCTGATGGAACCACCGAGCTCCCCACTGGCGTGAGCCTGCCCGGTGCTTACTCCGCCACCGACCCCGGCATCCTCTTCAACATGTACGGCGACTTCGACACCTACGAGATCCCCGGTCCCGCTGTCTGGGACGGTGCCTCGTCTGGCTCTGGCTCTGGCTCCGGCTCCAGCTCCACTGCCGCCGCTACCTCAACTGCTGCTGCTACATCCGCCGCTGAGAAGACCACCTCTGCTGCCACCACCACCTCCGCTGCCCCCACGACCACCGAGGCCGCCGCCACCAGCGTCGCCCCCTCCACCACCGAAGCCGCTGCCGTGACCTCTTCGACCTCCTCTGCCACCCAGTCCCAGACCCAGGTCCAGCCCACCTCCGTCGCGACCTTCACCACCAGCGTCAAGCCCACCTCCGCTGCCCCCACCACCGCCTCTGTCGCCCCTACATCCCAGGCCTCTGCTGCCCCCACCGGCAGCACCGGCACCGGCTCCATCCAGATCTACCAGCAGTGCGGCGGCATGAACTACAAGGGTGCTACTGGCTGCGCGAGCGGTCTGACCTGCAAGCAGTGGAACCCTTACTACTACCAGTGCATTGCGGCGTAGACATGAGTTGGCTTTGGGTTTGAGATATAGATCCTTATTATTTCTTCGTGGATGGCCGGGATCAGACACCAAGATGGTTTCTGGTTCTGTCTTGTCTGCGGTTTTTGTTCGAATAGATGGTGCGCTTTTCACTTTCTGCACATGTAGACTTTGCACCCCTTGCCAGATTCCGCTGGGCGTAGGGTAGGCATCGGGAGTAGACTGGGCGGCCCAACACATTCGGAAGCTTGCAGTAGAGTCGCTATATAACAATCCCCTCAAGCTCACCCACACTCCCCACCCCAAACGGATAGTCCACCTCAACGCCCCTAACCAACTCCTCATGCCCCCAACTCCTCGGCCTAACATCCAAGCCCCCCAAAACCGGATGGCTAATAACCCCAGGCAAAAACTCCGTCTTCGCACTCGCCTCGCTGGCAATCCGAATCTCAAACACCGCCAACACCTGCGCAATCGCCAGAAACAACGACGAGTCAGCCAGTAGTCGCCCGGGACAGATCCGCCGTCCAAAGCCGAACGCCAGATTCGCTGGATCAGCCTCCGGCGTCGGCCCAAGGAAGCGCGATGGGTTGAAGGCGGACGCGTCCCTGTAGACGGCAGGATCATGTGTAAAGGCCCAGATATTCGGCATGACGAGTGCGCCTTGCGGGATGAGATAGTTGTTGTAGATGTTGTCTTCTGTGCAGGTGTGTGGGATGCCCATTGGGCCGACGGGGTGCCAGCGCAGCGTCTCTTTGGCGACTGCCTCGATGTAGGGGAGACGAGGGCGATCGGTTAGGGAGGGGAGGTTGTGTGGGCTCAGGACGGCGTCGAGTTCGGCTTGGGCTTTTTGTTGCACGTGTGGATGGAGCGCCATTGCGAGGAAGAAGGTTGATAGGGCGGAGACGGTCTGTTTGAGTTAATGCGCGCCACGAGAAGGGGGGGAAGTATCCGGCCATTGAAGCCGACGTACTGTATCTGCGCCCCCCGTGTATATCGATGTAGCGGTCCACTTATTGACCTGCTCTTCTTCTGCGCTTTGACTTCCCTCCTTTGTCTCTGAGAGGAGATTTGACAAATACGAATGCGAGTAGCGCCCCGACTCCATCTGCTTCAAGACAAATCGGTAGGGCTTCTCCACTGCAACTCGAAGAGTATCTCTCATCGTTTCCGCTGTGCGTTGGAATCCGGCGCCGGGGATCCAGCTTGGGAGGTATCTCACTGCACAGATCGCCTGTTAGACCATCCGTTTCTACTGTGGAAATTGAGCTACGAATCAATGATGATGGAAACTGACAGGCCGGTATGGTATCCACGATCCAAGCGCCTGGCGTCGCAGCCAGCGAGAACTGATCCAATGTTTTGTTTGCAAGGGCGACGAGGGGATCATCGCCATGTGGCGCGATGTCATACCCGTATGCGATCTTTAGAATCACGGCGCCGGTTGCTCTGTTTTGTTAGCACACTTCCTTTCGATACGGGTAGCGCATCCCGATGCAGGTGCAGATGGCGGCTCACGTTCTAATATGATGCACCAGGTTATCCGGCTTCTTGAGGATACGTAACAGAAGCCGTCGAACCTCGACTTCCTGAAGCTGGTCGAATTGAGAAATTGCATTCTTGGTCCCGAGCACGCGGTGCATGGCTTTGCGGTAGGCGCGGAATGTGTCGGAGTACGGCTGCATTGCGAGGGAGTGTTCCCATCCGATCCTAAGAACAGAGAATAAGCTGGAGTTTCGGAATGGCCTGGCTTGAGTAAAGGAATACATTTCACCGGCAAAGACCATCCTCGGTCGTGAAGAGTAGATGGTCGAGCGCTTCTCGAGCAGGTCGAATGCGATGCGGGCTTCGTTGATGATGACGATTGTTTGGCCGAAGACTGTTAGGGAGCTTATTGGACCTGGTCACGGATTAGTAGCAGCTAAATGAGCCCGATTACGTAGAAAAGGAAGGTACGGTGAATCATATGTACCATAGAGATCCTTGTGCTTCAGCCAGTGCGCCCAGCTCTGCTGATCCGGCGACGGGAGATCACGCAAGTTGCCGATAAGCGGTTTCGGGGGTGGGCCTGGAGGCAGAGGGGCCGTTGTTCGTTTCGTAAACGATTGTTTGAGAAAGTATATCAGGAACAACCCGAGCGGGACTGTGAGCAGAATCGTAGCCGGTGTCATAATGGCCTCAATATTCCCCAGAGTGAGAGTACCACGGTCGAGGCTGAGGAATGCCGCGGGGGAACCGGCTTTTAAAGGGTCAAAGAGTGCAATAAGCTGCATTAAGCTACGCTTGGAATGCATGGCTTAACCTTGTAAGGCGTAGTGCAGCTTGATCTGGTTAGTATACGGAGTCGCGAGCCTTGTCTTGGGTATCCCTCCAACCTCATAGGCCAGGCATTGTGATGATAAGTTGCCGGCATAGCCTTTGTCAATGGTATGTGCACTACCGTATAGTACCAAATTGACGATACTTATGGTAATTGACATGCGAGCTTGGCTGCCCTTCCATTGGCCTGGAGTTGGATTGCGGGAGATTTGGAACAAAGCAAGCGAGGTTGCCCTAAAATCCTGTTACAGGACCGGCTTAACTTTATATCCCATAACTTTCGTATAATACCCCTGTCTCCCTCCTCCTTTGTTTTGGATTTCGCCTTTTTCCCGCCGTTTCCCCCATGGTCATAATAGAGGCCGAGGTCTCGGAAGTTGGCTCTTCATCTCAAGCTCAGTCGAACGCAACACGCCTCTATGTTGTCTCATCCATTTTAATTCCTATCGCCATAATTTCCACTGGTATCCGGATCTGGGCTGAGCTCCGCCACCACCGAAAGCGCTTGGCACCGGATGATTTTCTCATCGTTTGGTCCACGGTAATGTTCTACCAGAATCAAGACAGAGTACATGTGTGCTAACAGGAGCCTTCAAGCTGGTCAGCGTGGTATACTGTGCGGTAGTCCTACAAGGTGTGTTTGGGGGATCTAGTGTTGCATAATTTTTCTGATCCCTGCAGAGCCACGATACGGGCTTGGAAGACCGATTGAAACTGTGTCGGCGGAAGATAGAAAGCACATGTTGAAAGTAAAAAAAACCTCTACAGAATCCACCTTTTTGTCACTGACACATCGCACCAGTATGGTTATGTGGCCACAGCCATTTATATCATCGCCACCGCCAGCACCAAGCTCTCTGTCCTATCGCTGTATCACCGGGCATTCCCCTCGATTAAATTCCAGCGAATGTGCCTGGCAACAGCAGTAATTGTGATTATGTGGCTCTTGGGTTCCTTACTTCTACAAGCACTTATCTGCAGGCCCATCCGGAAACTGTGGGAGCCTACTACACCAGGCCGATGCGCCGACACAATGGTGCAAAATTACTTCTACACTGTCAGCATTCTTGCGCTTGACTTATGGATATTTGCACTCCCCCTGCCGCTCATCCTCCGGATGCGCATGATCACAACAAGGAAGAAGATCGGCCTTGGTTGTCTGTTTTCCATCGGACTGGGGTACGTTACCTCTGGGCTATATTCGTAAGGCTGAGCCTCGCTGATCAACGCCGCATAGCACCTGCCTCATCGTGGCTCTGAGAGTAGTGTTCATACCAACTGATCCGAGGATGTTTTGTCAGTATATTCCTGCTTCTCCCTGGCGATCAACCACACACCTAACCACGCTCCCAGCAAACGCCACTGTCTTCGTCATCCTCACAACATGGGAGCCAGTCGGTGGAATTCTGTGCGCTAACCTGCCGCTCATCTATAAACCCGTTGCGGATGCCTTTCGTCGCATCATGGGCACGTCTCGATGCAGTCCGGGCGACGATTCACCGCAGGGGGGCCCGCATAGCTGGTATCAGCTGCATAGGATCGTGAAGCAGAGGGCGAGGAACGCGCGGCTGGGACTATCGACTCTATCGTCGGAGAGCTACAGCGAGCATGCAGTGTATTCGGAGCCTATGGATCTCGGCGGGGCTTTGGTGGAAAGACGCTTGGAGCGTACTGTCTCTACTCGGGCGAAAGAGGAACAGCGGCAGGCGGGGCCTGATATCTAGATAGCCAACCTACAATAGAAAAGTACAGATACCGAGCTCACCATCAATCCTTGTTTTTGTCCCCTGCGCCGTTCGTCCGCACCTGGCCTCCGCCATAGTAGGACTATACCTTTGCCGACGACGCGACCTAGCTCGACCCGCGATCCAGCTTCTAGCAATGTCTATCATAGACCAATAAATGGTTGATTGCATCTGCTGGAGCTCTGTTTTATACTAACTGCTCCGCCTCGGGCCCTATTTCGGGCAATGCCAGATCTGCTCCAAGGTTATTGGCCAAGGTCAGACTGGAGGAAGCTGCGACGCATACCCAGAGTTGCCGCTGCGTCCTCCAGTGCAGGAATCCATTACCTTACCCATCCAATCATAATGAGAATGCCACGCGCTATTGTACCTGAGACTACATTCTAAGCTGCCAGGCCGATGCCGTGGTATCGCGTTTCAAACCACAGTATGATTAGCTTAAGAGAAAAGAGAGGAATGAAGATGGGTACTCCGGCTCTGATCATACAACACCCTGACCGTCGGTGATAACGCCTATCCATGCATAGTTACTACAAGAAGAAATAGGGACTCAAGTTCATAAGATGGGTAGGTAGATGCTGATTCCAAGGCTCCGTATCAACTGGGCACCCGTCAACAACATCTGAAACCGCCAGCTGCATGGCTTGCAGGTCTCATCCGGTCCATGCAGGCGACTGTGATACTTTACCATGCTCAACTCAGTTTTACTGTACCATGGTATATGCATAACCCCAAATTCCAGTGAAGAGCGTTGCAGGCAGGATCCCTACATCGCCCTCCCCCAAAGGAAAACAGTGTTCCGCACCAGCACCTCCGCATCCCGCGGACGCTCACGAATCATGACCCCCAAAAGCGCCAACACGATCCTGACATTCTTCAACTCCCTCGCCACGCTAAAAATGAATGGTATACCCCCATGCACCAAAGGAAGCGGATCCGCGCAATACGCTAGTAACAGTTCCACCATGTCCGCATCTCCATTCTTAACATCCGAGTAGAGCGGCGTGTCAACCTTCCCACCAGCAATGAGCGGATCGTTGTCGGAGTCTTCTTCCCCAAAGTCGGGGTACGGGTGTATGTTGACGACGCGGTCGTTGAAGTTGGCGCCGGCTGCGAGGAAAGCTTTTGCGAGGGGGAGATTGCGGTTGCGGGCTGCCTGGGTTAGGCCGGAGCTGCGGCGGTGCTTGACGTTTAGCTTGATTTGTTGAGGAATCAGGACTGCTGCGGTCCATTTCCTTGTTAGGGTCAGCGCGAAGAGGTCGCGCTGGGTGGAGGTCTCGGAGGCAATTTTCAGGAGGAGTTCGGCGGGTAGTAGTAGTAGTAGTGATATTTAACGCCCCGGGGATTGCTAGGTGTACGCCTATTATTCCAGACCTCCCTTGGGGTATGGGGGCGTGCCGCTGCTAGGTAAGTAGCTTATTTAAATAGTTTATATATAAAAAGGCTTTTTATTTTAAAGGGTAACTTTTACTAAAGCTTATAAACCAGCGCCTATTTTTTATGTACTATTTTTATATATAGCTATTAGTAGGTATTATTTATTATATATTTAGGGTTTTAGTTATAAAAAGTTTTAAAAACCTGCCTTATTATAAAAAAAATACACTAGCTAAAACTAGTTATATTAAAAAAAGGTATTTTAAATAAAAAAAAAAAAGTATAATAAAATAAAAAAAAAACTATTTAATATTAAACTAGGTAATTTTAATAATACTAGGGCGTGGGGTACCCTAGCAAGGGTAAATAAATTTATAAAAATTTATAATTTTAAGTAATAATATAAAGCCCTTGGGCTTTAATTTATAAAGGTACTTTAAGGCCTTAGCCTTAATTATTAATAATATTATAAAATATTAGGGCTATTATAAAAAGCACTATTTAAAATAATAATAAAAAATTAAATATTTAAGGCTTTTATTTATCCCGCAGGAGTAAGTAAGCCTAGTATTTTTATATTAAAAGTACTTATAGTATTACTTAAAGTTTTTATATAAAAACCTAAGTATAAGCTAGTAATATAAAACTAGTTATTTTAGTACTAGCTTTAGCTATAGCTTAACCTAGTAAGGCTTTAATTTTATAATAAGTTATTATTTATTTTATATAAATAGCTTTATAAAAATATTTTTTTATTATTTAGCCTAGGCAGCGTGGTATATTTACTTATATAAATTATATACTTTACTTACTATAGGCTATGCTTTTAAAAAGTTATATTTTAAAGGTTAGGCCTTTATAAAGGCTGTTTTATTAATAAGCTTATTAGCTAGCTTATTACTTTTAATACCTATATGGCTAAAAAACTACTTTAAGTAAATAATATATTAATTTATAAGCTAGTATAACGCCTAAAAAGTTTAATTAAAAAATAATATGGGCTACCCGCGCGCGTACTAAATTATTAAGGTATTATTTATATAAAGCTAGTAAATAAAAGCCTTAAAAAAATTTTTAATTATTACTTTTAATTTTTAAAGTGTACTAATAGCCTTAATATTATAAATATAAAACTAGGCGCTAATAACTAATAATTTTTATACTTAAAAATATTATTTATAATATATTATATAGTTATAGCCTATATAATACATACCTTAGTATATTTATTTAAATTTATTACTAAAAATTATTACCTTTATTATTAGTAGCACTTGCTATTATTTTTTAAATTTTTTTATAACTAGTTTTTTAGCCTTGCCCCTAGTGGGATTTTTTAAGTATTTTTAAAAGTAATAAAAATATGCTAAAACTAGCCTTAAGGTGTTTAAAAAAAGCACCCCTATAATTTATATTTTAGTTTTAGGCCTTTAGCATATGCTAGCACCTTAGCCTTATAAAATCTTTAATAATATTACCTATGCTATTAGTAAATTTTAGTTATTTACTAGCTAAAGCCTTAGGGTAAACTATAATTAAGCTTTTTTTAATATTACCGCTATAAAAAAAAGTTTAGTATTTTTAAAAAGGGTTATTATAAATATTATTTAAAAAACTAAAAGCATGCCGCGGGCGGCTAAAGCCAGGGTTTTTTTTATTATTTTAATATATTAATTTAATTAAGTACTAATTTTTAGGTCCCACGCGTGCTTACTAGGCTTGGTTTTATTATTATATTATATTTTTATTTTATATAAAAGGCTAAAAATAATATAAGTAATAATTACCTTATAAAGTAAGTTTATAAGCAAACTATATGCTATATATACTAAATTATAAATATATTAAATTATTACACAGGCTTTAGCTACCTGCTTAATAATATATTAATATTAAAAAAGCTATTAATTAAAAAAAATACCTAACTAGTGTAATACAGGCTATTTTTAACCTAGTGCTATAGTAACTAGGGTAATTATTAGCTAGTTATTAATTATTAATAAGGGTAATTTACTATAATATTTTTTAATAATATATAATATTTTTAGTTTTTTAAGTATAAAAGTTATTTTATTTTAATTCCCTTAGGCTAGCATGCCGTGAATATTTTTTACTAAAAGTTTATAATTTATATAAAAAAAGTTGCTCGCGTGGCTAAGGTAAAAATTATTTATATAATTAAAGTATAGGATTAAGTTTGTTAGTAGTAATTTAGCTATATATAATAAAAATAATACTAAAAAAAAAGGCAAGCCTTATAACATGCTATAATATACTAAGTATATTATTATTATAATAAACTTTAAATATATTTTCGCGCTTTATTTACTAAAAAAGTTTATAATTAAGGTTAAAAGCACGCGAGGCTAGCCTTATTTTACTATTTATTAAAGTAGGTATTATAATAAAATAATATTAAAGGTGCCTAAAATATTTATAATAACCATAGTAACTTTTTAGTTTTATAAAAGTGTTATTTTTATATTATAAGTAAAAAAGGCCACTAAGTTTATAGCTAAGTATTTAGGTAAAGTATTATATTACTATAAGCTTAGTATCTTTTATATTAGTATAATAAAAGTAATATAGCATGTTATAATTTATTTAAGTTTTTTTTTTAATATTAAGAGTAGCGCTATAAGGCGCCAGGATTAAGGTAAAAACTTATTTTTTTTATTACTTTTTAAAAGTATTATTACCTTTATAAGCTTTTATAATAAAAAAAAGTATTTTAGCTATAAATATTAGTTATATAGCTTGTGTATAGCCTACCTAATATATTTTTAATAGGCCTTTAAAATATAAATTATTACCTAGTCCGCCCCGGGAAAAATACTGCTTATATTAATAATATTTTTTTAACCTTTTTTAGTAAGATTTTTTTTAGCTAGTAAAAATATTTATTACCCTGCTAGTACTCTAGTACTAGGGGGTTAAAGTTTAAGTTATTATTTATATTAAAATATTTTAGTATTATTTTTTATAAAATATTAGCCTTTTCCCGCGTGTTTTTAATTACTTTATTATTTATTAATAATAGGGGAGCCTTAAGCCTAGGCTTTAGCTTATATTATATTATTATTTAATATAGTTTTTAATTATTTTTAATATTATTAATTATTTTAGTCTAGTACGCGTGTTTAGTTTTATAAATTATAATTAAAAACTATTTTTTTTATTTTAAGGTAGGGTTTACTACCTAGGCTTAGTAGTTTTTTATATATTTAATTAATTACTAGGGTGTGTTATAGCTCCCTAGGTTAGGGTATTTACTAATTACTTATATAACTTTTATAATAATATTATTAAGGGATTTAATATATTAATTTAATACCTTTATATTCTTAAGTTCCCCAGGCTAAAAAAAAAATATTATTTTATTTTTTATAAGCTTAGCTAGGTGCTTAAGCTTATAATTTAATATACTATAATAATATTATTTTAACATTTTTTTTCCGCGCCCCGGCACTATAATAACCAAAATTTAATAATTAAAATTATTATATAGTTTAAATATTACTAGTATATAGGTAAATAAAATATTTAAAAAAATTAAATTAAAAACATGTTTAGCTTTGTGCGTGGCCATGCCTGGCTTATTAATATAATTAATATTATTATTACTAGCTTATTTAGTAATCTTACTGCCGCGGTATAGGTTATTTATTTTAGGCTTAAAAGTATTATATATAATATTAAGATCCCTGCCTATTATATAGTTTAAGATAGGAATTAATATAACTAAGTAATTAATTATTTTATAAATAATTAGCTTTTAATATATATTTAAAACTTTAATATTATTTACTATAAGCTATAGTATATTTTAATTTTATACTAGGTAATATTATTTAACACGCAGTATTTTTTTTTTATAAATATAAGTAAGTATTTTAAAATATTTTTTTAACTAGTTCTTATGGTTATTTTAGGCGTTTATTAATATATAATACTTATATACTAAATAATTTTAGGTTTTTATGCCTGTGGCGGTCCAGGGCTCTTAAATATAGGTAATATTATAATTTTATTTATAGGCTAGTTATAGGATTATAGTATAACTAAATATAAATTTATTTATATTTACCTAGTAAATAATAAAATCCTGCTACTACTAGGTATTATTATAGTAATAATTATTATAATTCCTTTTTTAATGCTTTGTTATTAAAGCTTAAAGGGGGATTTAGTATTAACTTTTATTACCTAGGGTAAGAAAGGCGTGCCCGCGTTAGCTAGGGCAAGTTAAATTAATTTAATAAAAAACTACTTAAAATTCTAGTTTTTAGTAAAAGTATTAAACTATAAAATATAATAATTAGTAATTATTATAAAGCCTTATTTATTTATTTTAAGTTTTTCCGCGGTGTGCTTTTAAAGGTTTTTTTAAGGTATAAATTATTTAATTTTAGCTTAAAGCTAGGTATTAGTGTTAGCTTAAGTATGCATATTTTAATATTAATAAGCACTATAGTAGCGCACGCTATTAAGTTTTTTTTTAAATAAGTAAATTAAAGTTTTATTTTTATACCTAGGGGCTGCTAGGTAGTTATTATACTTTACTAGTTATAAACCTAAATAATTTATATAACACGCAGGGTTTTTATAATTAAGGCTAATAAAATTTAGGTGGTTTATAATTATTATATTATACTAGGTATAACGTGTTATATAATTATATTATATTAGGTAATAATATTTTTAATAGCTAGGGTTATACTAGGAGACTAGCTAGTATTTTTTAATAAACTAGTAATACTTACTTTAATTAAATAAAGTAAAGGCCTTAGGCTGCTTTAAAAAAAATATTACTTAAATAATTTACCTAGTACTAGGGTTAGGCCCATACCTTAAAAAAATAAATTTAATTAGCTTTAGTCTTATTTAGGCCATAACCTTATTTTAAATTAGCTTAATAATATTTATTTTATTATTATTATATACTTTAATAATACTAGGCACCCCTTATACCGCGTAGTTATATTATTTTTAAAAAATATATATATTAATAGCACCTAGGGTATAGTATATTATACTAATTATTTTATTAATTATTAAAAGGTTTTTAATAAAAAAATTATTAAGAATAATAGCCTAGCTTATATAAGTAATATTAATTTTAAAAATAGTTATAGTTATAGTTAGTCCTAGTATATACTTAATAAAGGCTTATTAAATAGTATATACCTTTAGGTATGCTATTAGCTTATTATTAAAAAGGGTAATTAGCACCTTATAATTATTATATATAGTTAAGGCTATAATAAAGCTATTACATGCTAATTAGGCTACTAAGGCGCCTAACTTAATAATTAGGGGTGCCTTGCCTAAGATAGTGTTAGTTAAAATAAAAAAACCTGCTTTAAAAAAGGTAGGCTAAACCTTTAAATTTTTAAGGGTTAAACTTATTCCCCCCTAGGTAATAATTTTACTAAAAATTATTATAATAGCGGGCTAATTACGCACGTATAAAAAAATATAATTAATATTATTAATATTAATATAACTTTTTAAAAAAATAAAGTATATAAACTTACTATAAATATTATAAGTAAAGGCTTTTTAATTTTAAGTTTTTTACCTAGTTATAAAGCTATTAATAATAATTATAAAGCCTATAAAAATTTTATACTTAATTTATACCTAGCACTCTTGCTTATTAAGCTAATTATAAAGGGCCTTTATAACTAGGCTAGGCTAAAAAGTTAACACACTATTATTTTTAATAATAAAAAAAAAAAAATAGGCTTGCTAGGGCCCTTTTTTTTTTACTTTTTTATAATATAAAGGTTAAAAAAAAATAAAAAATTTTATAGTTATATAAAGTTAGCTAAGTTAATACTTATAAGCTAGTTAAAAGTACATACCTTAATTTTAGCTATTATACCGCGGGGAGTAATAAAAAAAAAAAAAAGTTAAAAATAAAATTAAAATAATAAAAATATATATTTATAACAGTTTTAAAGTATCTAAAGCCTTTATTTAAAGGTACCCCTAGATTACTAAGAGTTATAAAGGTGAGGAGTTCGGCGGGGAGGCCATTGAGGGACATTTTGATAGACTATTGTTGTAATAACAAATCTATAGAGTGGGATTGGAATGGTTAGCCAAAGGCCCGGGGTCTTGACAAGGTTATAAAACACGGGGGAGCCAATGGTCAATTGGGTAGTGTGTACCTACCTAGCGGTGGTGAATGGAGATCTTGTTGATCTCGAGAAACCAATTGCGGCTCTGCTATTGGAGTAAACGAGACTGGGGCTTTGGGGTCTTGAATAAACACGAAGGAGGAAGACTGAAAGCGAGATTTCTATTGATGTCCAAGTGTGTCAACGGATGAAAGATGCAAGGTCGGAGAACAGAGGGGAATTACAATCCTTTATACAATCCGATATGTGGAACTGGAGATCTGTAGTTCGATTCTATTCGCATTTCTCTTTATACAGGCCTCCAGAGCTAGCAAGAAAAAGATGAGTCAGATATGGGGCTCTCCGCGCAGCCTTTGCTAGTGTTTTAGCACCGATAATACTCCGAACGGTCAGTGGTAACCCTAGCTTGTCGCCCTGAGAAACCACGCGAATGGCAGCGATAGAGCCACCTCCCAGTGCAAGGAATGAGGTGCTCTATGTTGCAGGTGACATACGGCCGCCTCCAGATGACTGCCTGAGCATAGATGTATCACTATTATGTACCACATACGGTCTTGATTGTTTTATAAATACGTGGAGGAAGGACTACTGGGTGCCATATTTACTGCAAGATGCGGCTACATCGCGAATTTCGATATACAAATGACTAGCTTGATGTTCTTAAATTGAAATGATTGTTAAGTACATATGGCACACCAGAACATGGTCCATACTCTAGACTTGCTGCGATAGATCTAATCCGAAATCTCGGCTTAATCCTCACTGGATCGATGCAGACCACGGTTTTGTACAAGGGCACTGATTCAGTTACCAGTGTCGCAGGATTCCTCTCCCAACACAGCGCGCCGGAAAACTGTTGCCTCATCATCCGCAGCCAGTCTATAAGGTCTATTAGATCTGTAGGATAGAGTGAGCTGGACCAAAGATTCTGCGTCTTCGCCGTGCTTGACCATGGCTTTGATGATCGCCACACAGACCGAAGTCTTTCCGAACGCACATACCCATGTATACGTGGAGCGTAACTGGTAAGGTTCCATAAGAGATGGGTCGGCACCGGCGTCCAGCAGCAACTCCATGATATCCATGGTACTGAATCGCACGGTCTGATACAGCGGTGGATAGATCTTACCAGAGAGGCAGAGGGCGATAGGAGCAGCACATGGATATTCCTGGTCGGGTTGTTTGAAGACGGGCTCGTTCAGGTTGGCGCCGGCGTTGATGAATTCTTCCACGAGCTCAATGTTGTCATGCTGGATTGCCCAGGTAAGGCCGGTGGCTCGGTGGAATTTGGCGTTTAGCTTGATTTGCTTTGGGAGGAGAAGGGAGGAGAAGTGTTTGTTGGTTAGGGTGAGAGCGAAGAGGTCGGACTGGCTGTTTGTTTGCTCGGCAATCATCAGGATGAGCTCGTTGGGCAGACGTTCGAGAGACGGCATTTTGAAAGTCACGTTTGGAGAATACCTGGACTTTGGGTAACGCAAGTTAGTCTTTCGGTAAGGATGATAATACAGCGGGGAGAGACAACTCAGGGAAAGAGATGGCTCCGACACAGCGTTCGAAAAATCAATGAGGTTTTTGGTGGATGGGATGTGCTCAATGGGTAGAGAAGAGGTGGCTGAGAGAGTTGAAGGATGATGAGAAGGTCAAGTTGAATAGGGTGGAGGAAGAACTTATATATCTTCTGCCCAGGAGTCCGGTAGTGCCCCGATGTCCATTCCATTCACCTTTCTCCCCATGGACCGACGGTGAAGTGGATGATATGATATGTACCTCCAGAACTTAGGGCATGGGTGAAACAACACGTAGACCTGGAGTAACGGCTCCGTGGCCTCGAAAGTCTCCGATCAGGGGCAACTGCCTGGAGAAAGGGTTATGCCATAGGGCGTTTGATCATTAGTAGCCGGGCAGGCGGACAAGAATATTAGCATATTCTAGACCGAGATAAGAAATATTGGGTATGTACAAGTAGTAGCTGCACGAACGTGAAATGTAACTAGGTAAGACGGGGCCCGCCTGACGCGCCTTACTTCAGAAGCGGACTTCTACGGCGCTTTATTCATAAGGCATAGCCTGACAACTCACCGCGAAGGGTACTTGTTGGCAGGGGCCACGGCTGGGGTTGCGGTAGTGTTTCCTCTCAACCACTAAATACAAGCCCCAACCGCTGAATTGCCATCTGTGTATATCAATAGCTTCGTGCAACCTACAGTTCCGCTCCCGGCCGGTACCTGTTCATCACAATGCGTGTACCTTTAATGCAAAGATATTGTACATGATACCTAGGACAAACGTATCTAGAGTTCGACACGCCGAGCCCGTCGGCGGCTTTAGCTGCTTACTAGACTATCAAAAGCACTGGACATAAGTGTCTCTATTCTTTGGTAACGATACGTCCGTTCATCACTTGGCTTTAAGAACAGGTAACAGCTAAAGAGCCATTTCTAGCGTGTTTCGCAGACCTTGGCCGGTTAGTAGCGTGTGTCAGTTCACTGGCTGTAGAATCATTCAAAGAATATGACTGCTATCTACGAACCAATACAGCACACTATGCGGCTGAATCTCTCTCCTACTAACTCAGGATACAAATGCCGCAAAGGCTCAACTACCGGCTCAGGAAGCAGGAACATCCAAATGAAGTGACGCCCTGTTTCCCCCCATACGGGCGGTATGGATACACTGCAGGTATCCCGGTTGTAAAAAGTGGTAAAATTTGGATTGATATCTCAGTCAATTACATGATGTTTCGCGTTTAGGTACAAGACGTTCAGCCCCAGATCAGAATCCAGTACGCATGGATCCCACATTCTATGGTAGTCCCAATCCAGGATCCTGAGTGAGGGTCCATCGAAAGTCTAGAGCCCGGCAATACCGTAGGAATTATAGAGCAACTCAATAGGAACACCCCTCTGCGCCAGCTCCAACATCAACACGAACCGGATCTTATGATATCCCTTGATATGTGCCTTATCAAGGGCCGACAGTGAACGCGTCCTGTCAGGGGCAAACAGTGAACGCGAGAACTGGTGTGAGCTTGTCCCCGGGTTCGCGCCAAACTCCAGCAACAGGCGCACCATCTCCAAGTATCCGTGCCCCACGGCCCGATAGAGCGGAGTGTCGAGTTTGCCGGATTCTAGAAGGGCCTCGTATTCGGCTTCATCCATGGCCGGGAACATCAACCTAAACTGCCACCCGCCGTTGACGATGCGAAAACTAGGTCTGGGTACCCACTCAACGGTGACAACGGGTTTGTCGATGAATGCCTGTATGCCGGGGGTCTCGAGGAATCGGCGTGCGAGTGGTAGGTTGTTGTGCCTGACGGCCCAGGTCAGGCCTGCTGCCTTGTGCTGCTTGATGTTCAGCTTCGGCAGCATGGGAAGCAAGACCTTGGCTGTCCACTTGGTTGTCATTGCCAAGGCGAGGATATCAGCTTGCGAGTCGCATTGCTCGGCAATCAGGATCAGCAGCTCGGCAGGGAGGTCATTGAAGGACAATTTGGGCGGAAGGGTAATGGCTCTGGCAGGGGTCAGCTTTTCAAAGAGTGGATTATTTGGCGGTGGATGGACGGTACCTGTCAGGGTTACTGAAGAACCAGTACATCAGCTCGGCGGGAGGGGCCTCGGAGCTCATTTTGGACGGTTTGGTGGTAGTTCTGGCAGGGGTCGGCTTTGCGAGGGGTTGATGATTCGGCAGTGGATGGACCGGACCTATGAGGTTTTCTTCAAAGAGTCGGTAGAGAGTGGATTGAGGATGAAGATCGGAGATGAGAGATGTAAGATGGAAATATTGAGAATTGATCGAGGGGGGAAGAGCGTTGTTTTATAGGGCGACCCGATGAGTTCAGGATTTGGGGGTTGAGGAGATGGCTCCAGGTTCTAATTCCATTCACGTTTTTATTAACTGGCACAAGGCGTCAGACAGGGAGCCCAGCTTCCCCTCAGACATCTGAGATGCTGCCAGGTGAATGGTACTGGCTTGAGGCTATGGCTCACAGGCTCTAGCCTTCCCTCCCGAACACCACCCAACCGGCCAAGTCACTTCCAACCATTCCGTCTGCTGGCGCTGTTGAGATGTAGCTCCCGAAAAGGGCCGAAGAAACAGGTACATAGGTAATTAACAGGAGGGAGCCGTACTCTCGCGGTAAACAACGGGGGTCGCTAAAAGCGAAAGCTACACTGTGATATTGGCTTATGCTTCCCGGTAGTAACACGATGCAGTGCTTGGGAGAATAAGCTTTGTTTACCCGGAGCTTTGAGGTTAAGATAGGGGGCGCATGGGGTGAAATAGCTTGGCCAAAATCTACTTAAGGAGACGAGGCAGCTCTGCGTCTCCTGAGCGCCGCGAGCTACTCGAATTGCGCATTGTGTCGTGTTCTGGTGCGTAAATCACTACAAAACCTACTGAAACCATGGGAGCGCTTATGGTGAGAAGATCCTCACAGTCGCCTACCGGCTATGTTACCAAGAACACGAAGATATGGTAGTATTGTTGCTAGGTACGAGACAAGGTGATGTGCGAATAATATGCTAGACAAAAGCCCGCGAAGGGGTCTCCAAATCGAAATGCAGGCACTTAGCTGCAACCGGGTATTGTTTACTAAGTCCAGCCCATCTGTCTAAAACACGCAGCAAATCTCGATGTTGGTGCAAGTAAATCCACAAATTTGTACTTGATGTAGTTGATATCAACCAAAGAAAAGAGAAATGGTGTACGTCCGGTGGAGCACACTTAGGTATCTAAGGCATCCACCGCATGAATTCCTCTAGGTCCAGGGCGTCCTGGGGAGGATTCTTCATCACAGCGTCGTGGAGTAACCACTGGATACGCGTGAAGCCTTTCTTAGAAGCCGTGTGAATGGGTGTTTTCATGAGATTGTGATCGGTAGAGGTAATGGGATTGGCACCGAAGTTCAGGAGAAGCCTGACCATGTCATAGGAACCATTGTCAACGGCCAGATAGAGCGGAGTTGAGAGCTTGCCGGATTCTCGGAGCGCTGCAGCTTCGACCCAAGGTTCAGAGATCCAGGGAGATATTGATTTATCGTACGAATCTAGGGTCGATACGTTGCAGCACATGAGCTCCCAGGAGAGTGTCCATGGGTCTATGATGCGGTCGTTGATGTGTGCCTGGGCCCCTGATTCGAGGAGTCGTCTGGCGAGTGCGATGTCGTTCTTGCGGACTGCCCAGGTGAGGCCGGTTGCGCGGTGGAACTTTGCATTGATGGCCATCTGTTTCGGGAGCAAGATGGAGGAAAGGCGCTTGTTGGTAAGCGTCAAGGCAAACAGATCGGCCTGGGAATCAGTGTTCTCGGCGATCATCACGACCAGCTCGACTGGGAGATCCTGGAGAGACATGGTTGTAGAAACGATGGCACTGGTCCTGGAGACAAGTCAGGGAAAAACGCATTCAGACATAAGATAATGGACAAACCCGATGATATTTTTGCGAAGAAGGGACAGTGTAAGGTATGATAAACCGTGGGAATTTGGCGGGGCGCAGTGAGATGTTGAAGACGGAGAGATGGGTAAGCTTAACAGCCGTGAGATGAGCGATGTTTATAGAAAGCCCCGAGGAGTTCGGGAGCAAGGACGCCCGTGGGATCATTCACTGTCAGGAAGTACGGGTGGAGACCTTAGGGAATCTCTGTGCAGTACTCCACCTGATCATGACGGCAGACCCATGAATTTCGCAGCCTGAGACTACAAAAGTCAGGACGTAAAGCGTGACAAGGTTTGACCCAAGGAGCGAGGCCAAAAGCTGCCGAACATCGTGGAGTGGATGTAGTGGAGGGAGCTCAGAGCGGACATCTGGACCTGACAGCGCTATCCGGAATCACGATACGCTTCTGGCGCATACTGGACTACTCCAGGAGTGGTGAGGGAAACACGTAGGATATTTTCCTAGCAAGCAGGGCGCCATGCAAATATGCCACCGCCGTCTTCCATTAGATCTTGTATAAGTACAGTCTGAGCAGGTTGCCCTGCTCCGTGAGGCAAATGGGGGTGGTTGCCACACTCTGATGCCGAACATGGCTAACAGCTGTGTTGTTTGACTCGTGTGATATAGTTGTTCATATCGAATCGTCCCGCCTAGGTAGAGACTGCTATCTGCATAGACGCATTCGCGTCTTCCGTGCGACGCCTCGTAAACGAAGATGGAGTAGCTGCTGTGCAGCATGTTCAACAAAGGTGGTGCTCTCTGACACTGCACATGGGCATACTACAAGGCTATCCAGTGAGAAAGCTACCTAAGGCATGCTGGAAGTGGGTGCCTGAGGCCACCGGCGGCCTTAGGGCTCCGGTAAAGGAAGGTTCTTCTAGCCTAAATAGCCACTTATAAAACTCTTTATTTATCCCTAGAATATTTAGCTTAGTATACTATGTAATATAAGAAACTTTTACCTACTATAACTAGTTATTTTTTTTAGTAGGTTATACGCCCGGGTTTGCTTAACTTATATATTTAATTAAAAGTTTTTTTTTTTTTAAATTAAACTTATACTAACTAAATACATGGTATTTTCTTATTTTACCTACCTAGCTTTATATTTTTTTTAATTTTATTAATTATTATAGTAGTTAAAAAGCCCTATACTTAAGGTAAGGCCTTTATTATTAAGGTATAAATATTATAGCTTTATTTTATTTTATATTAAATTTTTTATTTTTTTTTTACCTTTTTAATTAACTTTTAATTTTGTAAACGCCCGCTCCCTAGGGCTAAATATATTTAATTTTTTAATAAAAATAAGTTTTTTTTAGTAGCTAAAAAGTTTTAAAACCTTTAAAGGTATTATAACACCTTTAGGTTCCTTAATTTAAACTTTAATTTTAATTATTTTTTAAAAATTTAAACTAATCTTTAGACTTTTAACTAGCTATTTTTAGTTACTAATTTTTTTTTTATATAATTATTCTAGTATAGGCTTTAGCCTATTTAACCTTAACCTTATTATAGTAACTTTTTAAAGCTTACCTTTTTTTAATTTTTAATCTTATTTTTTAGGTAATTTAATTTTTAGCACCTAAACTACTTTAATCCTTTTATTATTTAATTTTTTTATACTAAGCTAAGATAGGAAAAATAACCTTAATTAAAGTAAAAAATATCCTAGTTTTAATATTAAAAAATTAGTAAATTAAATAAAACTAGTAGGTATTTTTAAAGCTCTAGAAGGCTAGCTATAATTATTTTTTAAAGTAATTAAATTAAAAGCGCCTTATAAGAACCTTTACTAGTCCCTTTTTTATTATACTAGTTTTAGTAGGTAAAAATATTAAGACCCCTGGCTAATAATTTACTATAAGCTAAGCTAAAAATATAAGTATTAATAATAAAATTTTAATTACTATTATACCTCTTGTGTAGCCTCTTGCTTAGTTTATTATTAAGGCTATTATTAAGCTTACGCCCCTGGTAAACTATAATAAGGCTAAAATTTAATAATAAAACTGAAATTATATTATAGCTTTAATTTTTAGTTATTTAGGTTTTAATTTATAAAACCTTTTTATTAATAAATAAATAGTTTATAAACTACTTAATAAAATTAAAAGCTATTTTAAACTTAATATTAATACTATAATTTTTAAGGCCTAGGCTAACTTAATATTTTTATTTTATAATAAAAATATTTTTAATTTTAATAAAAAACTTAAAAAGATTTAGTAAAAATTTACCTATATTAATATTACTTTTTTAATTAAATTTATTATTATTATCTTTTACTAAGCCTTAAGTAACTAATTTAATTATCTTAAAGTTATATACTTTAATAACTATATTATTAAATATTTTTTAAGAAATATTATTATGCTAATTACCTTTTTAAATAACTTTATAATTATTATTAAGTTTATTAAATTAAATTAAAACTAGGGTACTAGTACCCTAGCACTTTTTTTTAATAAGGTATTTAAGCTTAATATTAAATATTATAAAAATTACCTTAATATTATATCAATATATAAAAGTAAGGGTATTATAAATATTACTATATATTATTATTTTTATTATAACATGTTTTTTTATAATTAAAAAACCTATTATTAACTTTATTTTAAACTTAAAATTACTTAAAAAAATTTTTAGGGTGGCAAGGGCGCTAAGTATTCTTAAAAAAATTTTAAATTTAAAAAAGAATATAAAGCCTATGCTTAAGCTAGCACTTATAACTTAAATTAGCTTAAATTTTAAGTAAAAAATTATTTAAAATAGCCTTATTTAATAAATTACCCTAAATAATAGCTATATATAATATATTATTTATAATTACTTTTTATTTTAAAACCTTAAGCCCTATACTAGCCCTAGTATTAAAAATATTAGCCTTAAAGTTTTTAATACCTAAAGTATTAATATTATTAAAATCCCTTGCTATGTTAATAGCTAGCTTAAAATTTTAATTTTAAATAATATTTTATATTATTTAGACATGTTTTTTACGCTAATTTTTATTTTTTAACTATTAAATAAGTATTACTTAGTTAGCTTTAGCTAGTAGGATATAAAAGTTAAAAAGCTATAAAATACTAATATTATTATTTTATATAACTATAAATTAGCTTAGTATATAATTACTAAAGTTTATAAAGTATTTTTACTAAATTTTTACTAGGGCCTGGTAATACCAGCTATTTTAATATTAATAATATTTATTTTTTAAAATAAATTTTCCTGGCTTTAGCACTAATAAATAAACCATACTTTTAAAAATTAACTTAATAAAATAAAAAAGGTGGTTTATAGCATATATATACCTAAAAATTATATTTATAAATTTTATATTATTATATGCTAGCAGGCCAAGCCTTATAAAAATATTATTATACTTATTAATTAATTATTTAAATTACTTTATATAAATATTTCCAGCCTATATTTACTTTTATTTAATAAAAAGGTATATATTAACTTTATTATAAATAATAAAATTTATTATTATTAAATTATAGCGCTAGCTAGCAAGAATAAATTTATTACCTAAATTTTTTTTATTATTTATTAATATAACATGCTTAAACTTTTACTACACCGCGTACGCTATAATTAAAAAAGGGAAAATATTTATAACTTATAATACCTTATTTATAGCTTTAAAGCTATTATAAAAACCTTTAATATAAACTAGTATAAATAAAATAACTATACTAAAGTATTTATTAATAAGCTACTAGGCCTTATATAATTTATATTATATAATATTAAAGCCCTAGCTAACATGTGATTTAAGTTTTAAAAAAATATTAATTATTTATATAATTAAACTTTATATTTTATATTAAATAATATTACACCTTTTAAAGCCTAGTATAGCCACTAACTAAATATTTTTTATATTTATATTTTTTAGTTTAAGGTTTATGTTTTAAACCCACTAAAAAAATAAAAAAAGCTTTATAAAAATAGTAAAATAAGAATTAAAAGGCTAGTTAGGTTTAATAAAAAAATAAATAAGCTATATTAGGTTCTCCTGGATAATAGCCATGTGGTTTTAATTTATAATATTAATATTATTAAGAATTACTGCATTAGGCTAGATTTTTTATTAAAAGTAGTTATTTTAGCGCCTTTAGGAATTTTTATTCTTAAGGCTTTACCTTCTTTAGGGATTTTTATTTTTAAGGCTTTACCTTTTTTAAGAATCTTTATCCCTAAGGCTTTATTTTTTCCAGGAATCTTTATTTTTAAGGCGCTACCTAAAGCTTTAAACCCTTTAGGAATCTTTATTTTTAAGGCACCTAAAGCTCTAGTATTTTTAAAAATTTTTATTTTTAAAAACTTACTAGCTAATATTAACCTAAATACTAAAAAAAACCTTAAAAATAATTTTTTTTAAAAAGCCTAGCTTTTAGGGACCTTTTTAGGTATATAAATCCTAAAAATTTAATAATAAAAGCTATTAATTTAATTACTAAAGTTAATATATTTTTAAAAAAATTTAATTTTAACTTTTATAATACTAGCCTAGTATACTACACACACGCTTAAGCTATTATTAATTTTAAAAAAGCTTTTTAAATTTTAAATAAGCTAGCCTATTTATTTTATTTTTAAAATATTATTAAAGTCACGTGGAATAAGATTACCCTAGCTAATAAATTTTATTTAAATAACCTTTAAGTACTAGCTAGTAAGCCTAGCTTAAATAATATTTTAATATTAATTATAATACTTTATAAGTAAATTTTGAAAAAAAAATAAACTAATAGTTTAGCAAGCTAAAGCTAAAAGTAAATAAAATAAGTAATTTAAGGGTATATAAAATAAATATAATTTTTTAATAAAAAATAAGATCTAAAATCTTATTAACTTACTAATTAAAAAATACTTACTTTTTAGTAAATAAGTCCTAAAAATTAAAAAAAAACTAAAAGGCTAAATTTTTTATTATAAAGCTTATTAAGTAATTTATAGCTTTAAGCAAGTTTATAAGCTTAATTATTATAAAACCTTTATTAAAATAGTAAAGCTAATAAGCTATAAGCTTTTTTTTATTATTATTATTATTATACTTAACCTTAAAATTAAATAAATAAATATAAAAATAGTATTTTTATATAAAAATATTAATATTATAATTTTTATAAAATAACCTTACTTTTTTATTAATAATTTTAAGTATGTTTACTAGCTTTAAAAGGCTTTTTATAACTTAAAGTAAGTATTATAAATTTAATATTAATTATTTATAAACTTTCTAGCCATGCTAGGCTTTTATTTTATTTATTTAAATTTAAAAGTTTTTATTAATAGTAAAATTTTTATTATTATATATATAAATAATTTTTTATTAATTAGCAGGAATAAAATCTAGATTTAAAAAATTAAAAATACCTTAAATAAGCACTTTAAAATATTTAATTTTAGCCCTTGTTATTACTACCTTAGTATAAAGGTTTATTAAAATTAGGCTAATTAAATATTTTAGCTTTTTTAGCTTAGCTATATAAATAAGATTTTTTATTAATTTAATATAAATAACTTTAAGGTTTATAGCATGCTAATAAATCCCTGCTTAAAGTTAAAGCCTGCTTTTTAAAAATACTTAGCTTTAATAAATATTTTAAAGTAATATTAAAGTATTATTAATTTTTTAATATACCTTATATTAGGTACTTAAGCTAATATTACTTACCCCGTGTTTATTTTAAGCTATTTTTTTATTAAATTTATAAAAAAATATATAATAACTATTAAGCACGTGTTTTATTATTTTTAGGGCTTTATAAACTATAAATTAATATTTTTTAGGGATTTTTAACTATTAACTAGCTATATTAATATTAATTAAGGTAGTAATTTAAAAATATATTATTTTACCTTTAAATATATATTTTATATAAGTTTTATAATTATTAGCTAGTTTTTTAAATATTAACCTACCATAGCTTTATTTTTTTATAAAATTAAGTATATAAAAAAAATATAAGCTATTAAAAAAGTTATTTAGCTTTGCTACTTATTAAAAAAGCTTATAAATATTTAAAAAGTAAATTTTATAGCCATTATAATTTATAAAAATAATAAAAATATTATAATATTAGCTAGTAACCCCTAGTTTTAAACTTAAAATAAGTATATTAATATTTAATATTACTTTATTTAAAAAAAAGGCCAAAGGCATGGTTAATATTTAGTTTATTTTTATTAAAAAATAAATAATAAATAGCTTTATTAAGCCACTAAGGCCTAAAATATTTAAATACTTTAAAGTTTTATTAAAAAAATTTTTAAACTTATATAAGTAAGTTTTTTAATAGTTTTTATACTAAAATTAGCCTTTTTTATACTAAACTTATAATAACTTATATATTATAAAATTATATTTAATTATTTTTATTTTTAGTCTACTATTACTTTATTTTTATTTTTAAAAATTAACCTTATAGTAAAGGTAATATAATATTACCTTATTTTAAAATCTTACCCTAGTTCCGCATAATACCCTAATTATAATATTAAAAATTAATATATTTTTAGCCTAGTTTAAAAAAATCCCTAGTGCTCCCTATATTTACCTATAAAAAATATTATTTTTAAATACTAAAATATAAGCTTACTAGCATAATTAACTTATTAATTATTTTAATTAAAATCTTTATTTAATATTTTTTAGGCTTTAAAGTATAGTTATATTATATAGTTAGCAGCTTTTAAAACCCTAGGGCTTTTTTAAATTAAGTAACTAAATAATATTATTAATTTTTAGTATATATAGGCTATCATAATAATCTTATTTCTTAATAAAAAAGGTTTAAAAAAATATTATTATTTAAGACTATAATTTTTATTATAATCCCGCTAGCCTACGCCTTAAGGACTTTATATTTAAGGCTTAATTATATTTATTATAAATACTAGGCTAGTACTATATTATTTAAAATATATAATATTATACTAATACTAAGTTTTTTAAAAAAAATTAATATTTAAAATATATACTTTAATAACTTTAATATACTACTATACTAGGTAACTTACTTTATACTAAAAATTAAGATTTTTAAATAGCTTATTATATATTAGTTTATTATTATTAATTAATAATACTTTTTATATAAACTAGGCCTTATTTTTACCCTTAAAATAGCTTTTACATGCTTTAATATTTATTATTACTTTTTTAATTATAAAGGGGCTATATAATTTATAAAAAAGCTAGTAAACATGCTAGTTAGCCCTTAAATTTATAAATTACTTAACTTATTATTTATTATTTACTTTACTTTTAGGCCACCCAGTGCCCAAAGCTTTTATTAAAAAGTTTATTATTTTATATATTTTATTATTATTTATTTATATTTTTAGGAATTATTTTAACTTATTAACGCCTGGAGCTTTTATTAATACTTATTATTTTTATTATTTTAATTATTAGCTTTTTAATATTTATTTATAAATTATATTTTTAAGGGAGCCTTTTCCTGGGATTAATAACTTATAACTTATTAATTTAAAAAAACTTTTTTTATGCTAGTAGCTTATAGCTTATTAATTTAAGAAAGTTCTTAATATAAATAAAAAAAGTACTAAAAATAGGTATTTAAGGCTACTAGCGGCCTTAGGGCTTTAATAAAAAAAGGTTTTTTTAGCCTAAATAACCACCTGTAAAACTCTTTATCCATCCCTAAAATATTTAGCTTAGCATACTATGCAATACAAGAGACTTCTACCTACTATAACTAGTCATTCCTTTTAGTAAGGCACTCCTTATCAACTAGGAGAGGGAAGGCCAGATAGAATCTACGGATTGGGACGGATAGAGGAAATCTCTGCTATCACAGGGGCAATGTCGAAATGTAGCTTGTGGTTCCGACCATTGCTACCTCAACTGGAGTAAGTCGGAGAAAATACTGCAGCTATGCGCATATTCCTTCCAGGTATCCAACCTCTGTTGGGGCTTTACTTGCAATAACCTACCTTCATTAGTTCACAAACTCGGGCGTAGACGGCAAACGTAACGCCAACATCGCAACTACATGGATGATGATTCAATGCGTCAAAGTAAAAAGGGTTTGAGTTTATTTTAAAGTAGATACATGGTTCTCATGGTAATCCCGAAACAGCAGGACAGGAGACAAGAGGTAGGAAACAACAAAAGTTCAACAGAAGTGAGATAACGATTTGGAAGATCGAGATACGTGGTAGTGATACCTTGCTCGGGCCTCAGTTGTTAGCAAGCTCCCTATAGTGCCGGCTCCATATCCTCAGCACCCATCTCATATCAGCTTTTCGATGATCCACCAACGCCATAGTAATCTCGCCGGAAATACCGTCAACTGGAAGAGCGCGTTGACTGGCCCTCACAAGCGCAGCCGGCTCTCCTTCGGCGTGGTTCTCATGTCCAGCCCTCGGGTCCGCACCAAAGAATAGCAAAAGCGTGACCATGTCCAGATGTCCGTTGTCGACAGCCAGGTAGAGGAGGTTGTCGAGTTTTCCGGATTCCTGCAGCAGCTTGTAGAGTGGACAACTAGCTAAGTTGATCAACTTCCAGAGTGGAGGAGACCATGCGTGCAAGCGAAGCGTGAACGGATGGCTGGATTTTGGGATCTGGACGCGATATTTGAGGATACTACTCAAGACGCTGTTCCTTGATATGCCTTCGAGCATGGCATTTGCGACTTGGATATTGTTGGTCACCACTGCCCTAGTTAGTACGGAGGCTTCGAAGCGTTTGATGTTGATTTCTAGCTGGCGAGGGGCTAGGATTGTTGCGAGGCGCTTTGAGGTTCGGGTCAAGGCCACCACATCAGACTGGGAGTCGCAGTGTTCAGCGACCAGAAGCACCAGCTCGATGGGGAGGGTTTGGAGCGACATTTTGCTGCTATCTTGCACAACTGATGGGATTCGCGGTCAGTTAGGGTTGTCTAATAAGTGGTATTGTAGGTATGAGAAACTCAACCAGTTGTTCTTTTCTGAATCACGTAGTGCAGGGACGGAAGGTTTGGCATGAGGTTAAGGTTAGATGGAAAATATGGATATTGAGAAGACGAAGTAAGACGAAGCAGGGAGATGTTATAGACGGTCATGAGGGGTTCAGGAGTTCCATGATGTAAATATGGCTCGATTCACTTTTTCTCTTGGCAGATATGTTGAATAAGATCTTCCCTTCACCGCTGCAGTGTCTTTAGTAAGCCGAATAAGTTCGAGATTCTCCCGGGATAGTTACAGGAGCCAAAAGATCAGCGTGTACGCAGACTGCAGATACTACATGCAAGGCATCAAGCCCACGGTGGTCCGCTACACCACCAAACCCAGAAATCGTACCAAGCCGACGGGGATAGGAGGCCTCCGTTGTCCGGGGACCTCGGGAGCCAAGTACCCTAGGATTTCTAGTAAACCCGCTACATTGACAACCGACCTGGGCAGCCCTTGGCCGTGGAGGCATCTAACCGAAGATCATTCTTAGCTACTGCGGACCCAACACCACTCACTGCCGAGCTAAGTGGTGGCCACAATGTCAAACTATTTAGCGCGTTGCAAGGAGAGGATAAGGAGAAAGGTATATGATGGGTGTACTTACTTGATATTCTATTCAGGATTCGTTGATTTATCTACAGGGCATCAACGGCTTTATATTCTATGGTAAGTAGCGTAGCTAGAGCACCTGAACAGCCGGCGCAACATCCTGGCTCTACTAGGTTAAAGAACTCGAATGGAATTATAACTGGGCTAAACAAACGTACCTGAAAGAGTGTGCCCGGGAAACAGGAATAGTCCCGGTAGTTTATGGGTTCGGATTAATTCATCCATGGATGTGTCTCGGGCTTGTTTATTTCAATGAAGTATTAAACTGTCTATACAGGCATGATGTTCAGCTCAGCGGTCTCGCTCCTACAACAATAAATACCTAGGTACGTAGTGCGGTGACTTCCTTCCTTCCTCAATATTGGTTCATAGTTTATCTCATCATGCCTACGAAGGATCTCAAACGATGACTTGTTGTACTACTCCAGCAGCAAAAGGTAGATTCTAGGTCCATTACTCGAATAGACTACCTACAATGCTCGCCTGCGTTCGAAGCAGAATCAACTCCCGGAGACTTCAACATAAAGCATTCTTTGTGAACCAAAGCAAATGCATTGTGGATGAGAATTAGCGGTTTCTCATCCTTTGGCCATTGATACTAGAGTTGAAAGGACTGTTATTGGAACTGTGGCAACTAGATCATGCATACTAGGTACAGGAGATAAATCCTTCTTCGCAAAAGACTGTTTCAATATCATCATCTTTCTCACAGTTCACCTCGCAGGAATGCCCCGAGCTCAAAGGGATATGAGTCGAGTTCGGGAATCCAAGTTCCCCAGTACTTCTCAACAGCCTGCTCTAGTCTTTCCCGATGATACCTGAAGTAGAATGTCTTTTTGACCAAGGCATCGACCAACAATTCACAGATAGCAGCAGACTTCTTGCTTATCGCCTTCTCAAGCATACTGTAACCATCACGGCAGTCTGATTGGATAGTCGGATCAGCGTCGTAATCCAGTAGTAATTTCACTATCTCGGCAAATCCCCTGATGACATAGAGAGCGTTGTAGGTGAAGCCTGAGTCTCCTATTGGGTGGCTACCGGAGGCGCTATATATATGAGGTCTGTGGGTCACGTGTAGCTAGTCCCAAACGGGTAAGCGTGGATGCCTGAGGCACCAAGGCAGGGAGCGTCCAACACACCCCTTGACTAGCAAACGTGGTAAACCGCTAATATACATGAAAAAATTGAACCTGGTGGTCTTTCCTAATTAGGAAATACATAAAGCTCACAGGCGGAGAAAAGAAAGAACTATTTGTTGACCTTTTATTAGTTAATTTAACAAACTATACCCCTGTTGGCCCGGCAGCGCGGGGAAGAGGAAGTATAAAGACGTTTAAGGCCTGTTATTGGCTAGTTCCATAAGGTATACACCCCTTAAAGAGCTGCCATTGGCTCGCTGGACAAGCTATACACCCCTTGTGGGAGTTGTGGCGCGGGAAACAGCTTGGCGCGGGAAACAGCTTGGCGCGGGGAATAGGAGTATAAAGGCGTTGGAGAGCTTGTTATTGGCCAGCTGTAAAACTATACACCCCTTGTTATCTTGGTATTCTAGCAGGTTAGATTTAATATAAAAAATAGCTTGGTGTAGGAAATAGCTTAGCACGGGGAATAAAAGTATAACAGTGTTAAAGGCTTGTTATTAATTAATTATATAAGGTATACACCTTTTATAAAGCTACTATTAGCTAGTTAAATAAGCTATACCTTTTAATATTTTAGTACCCTGGAGGTTTATATGCGGGAAGTAGCTTAATATATAAAAAAAAAAAATATAAAATTTAAATTTGGCGTGGAGAGCAGCCCGGTAGCTAATAAAAAAATAATATTATTAAAATTTAGCTAATTAAGGCCGGAAAAGTTAAAATAAAGTATAAAAAAAAATATAAAATAAGGCTGTAGTACTACACCCCGCGTAAAGTAATTTTAAAACACGTGTTATATATAAACACCCGCCTGGCTAATTTATATTAGGATTAATTATTCCCCGGGTTTACCTAATTACCCTTAGGTTATTTTTTACTTAGGCTTATAAAAAAAATTTAATTAGCTTATAAATAAAGCCCTAGTTTACACCTAATAATAGCTAGCCTATAATAAATATTAAAATAATAGCATGCAAGGGAAATTACCACCTAGCTAGTTTATATTAAAATTAATTACCCTTAAATTTACCCTTTATTTAGGCCCCTGGAAGGAATTTAATTAGCTAAAAAGCCCTGGTTTGCACTTAATAATAGCTAAAAGTATTAAAATAGTAGCATGCAAGTAAGGTATAAATATGGATTATAAAAGGTATAATTAGCTAGCTACAGGTAGCCAAGCTATTAGTACTAAATGGTTGGTACTATAAAAAAATAGTAAAGAAGAATAATTAGCCGTAGGCTAGGGGTATTAAAAAGGCGTGAAAATTTTACATGTTAAAAACCCGGGGTATCCCAGCGCTCTAGGAGGCTTTCGCTCTAGCTAATAAGAAAAAGATAAGATATATAGTTATTAAAGCGCTGGGACAGAGTAGCGGCTTATAACCTAATAATATAAAGAGTGTTATAGGTAAAGCCTGAGTCTCCTATTGGGTGGCTACCGGAGGCGCTATATATATGAGGTTTGTGGGTCACGTGCAGCTAGTCCCAAACGGGTAAGCGTGGATGCCTGAGGCACCAAGGCAGGGAGCGTCCGACATCCCCGCTTCACGGCCCACTGGAGAGGCTTTTTGCAGGTGGCTTTGCGTGTCCGCCGCTTCCGGTTGAAGCATTTGGGACAATGCTCGCGGAGTGTATACTCGCGGCAGCGGCGGCGCTGGCACTTCCAAACTACGACCTCGTCGTTAATTTGCTGCTTTGCCCCGGAGTCGAGGTAGGTCTTTGCAAGGGCGAGGTTGTTATGCATGACGGCCCAGGCGAGACCGCTGCTATGGTGGGACTTGATGTTGAGTTTGATGAGGCGGCGGATTAGGATGGAGCTCAGGCGCTTGGAGGTCATTGCCAGGGCGAGCACATCGGCTTTCGAGTCGGTTTCATCGGCGATCATCCAGATCAGTTCGACGGGGAGGCGCTCGAGGGACATTTTGGCGTCGACGGTGTTCGAGACTCTGTATGTTGGCTTGAAGGGATTAGTACTCAGCGATCCAAATCGCCGGCAGTGTATATGGATGAGATATCTAGGTAGAATATACTTACTCGGATGAGAATGTTTGGGTTTCACAAGGAATAGCTTTCCGGTAAGTGGTACGGAGATGGTGGGAAGAAGACAAAGAGAAAGTCGATCACTAGAAACAGAGGGGCTTTTATACCAGGATTGAAGGAAGCGCGCAGTGGAGTTCATGTCTGGAGGTTTGGCTCATTCACTCTCCCAGTGAAGAGGGTTCTGGGATGACTCAGGCGAAATCAGAGCTTCTCCTGGTCCTCAACCTCGGGGGTCATTGAGTGAAAGCCCAGCTAGAGAGAACAGACAGCATTTCCAGCTACCGTCTGAAGAGTCAAGAGTCCATCTAACACTGGTTCAAGGAAGATGAGTGTTCTTTGTTCTTTTCTGCTCAGTTGACATGCCCTCTGGCGCTGGTCAATATCTACCATCCCGCCGTTGGCTGGCTCGGGAATATAGTTGCGCTAGGTTGGATCTAGCATATTAACTTTGGTTATATAAAGTGCTTTGCAATACATACTTTATTAAAATAAAATAAAAATATATATTAATTTTTAAGTTATATTAATAAAGTAAATATATAGTGCAAAGTGGTTATATCGCGTTTATAGTAAATATATATAATTATTATTATAAATTACTAAATAAATATAATTTAGTAATAATAAATATAGGTTTACTAGGTTATATATTTATAAATAAAGTTTATATTTAGGTTAATTTATTACTGCCTGTTAAACTTATTATTAAAATTATTTATATTACTAAGGTTGTAATATATCTTAAAAATTATATTATAAATATTATAAATATAAATTATAGGTAATTTTATATATTATATATAATATAAATTAATATTAATATAGTATAATTACTGCTGGTAATATATAATTACCTAAAATTTATATACTATAAAGGTAGCGCTTAATAAATTAATTTAATAATTTTAATTTAGTGCTATTTATTATTTAGGTTAATTATATAGGCTATAAGACATTGCTATAAGATTAAAATAAATATAAATATAAATAAAAATACTAATTTAATGCTAATATTAATACTAATATTTAATATTAATAAAAATTTAAAATATTAAGGGCCCGTGCGCTGCTGTTTAAGTTAATCCTAGCTTATTAAATTAATATTAAGTTAAAAGCTATTAATATAATTATTAAAAAAACCCCGCGTTATTAATAAAGACCTACCAAGATTACTATATTATAAATAATTAGTTAAAATTATTATTTATTATTATATATTATATATTAAGTTTAAAGCGCTATAAAACACTATTTTTAAATATAAGCTTATATTTAGGGAAGGCGTTCCGCGTGATACTAATAAAGGGTAAGTTAATATATTATTAAATTATTATTATATTACCCTGTACTAAGTTTACATGTTTTTAAATAATATATAAAAAATTTATAAAAATAATAATAAATTTATAAATATATAAGTAGCTAAGCCTTAGTAAAATTAGCTTTTTATATAATTTAAGTATATTTTTAATACCTTGGGATATTCTTACATGTTTTATAAAATATTTTTTTTTTAATTATAATATATGTTTAAAGGCTAGTAAAAATTAATAAGGTTATAATAAGTAAGGTAACTAAAGTTATAAAAATATTAATTAGCATGGTAAAACTATTTACTATTTATATAAACTTACTTTATAAAGCAGTCTTGTAACCTTAATAAGTAAAGGTAAATTTATTTATAATAATTTACCTTATAAAAATAGCAAGTACTATAACCTAGTATTTAATTTAAAAAATAAAGTAAAAATAACTTATTAAATATTAAAATAGTATTAGGTATATATATTTAAATAAAAAAATAAGTTAGTAATACCTTTTGTAAGTAATAAGTATATAAAAGCTTACTAAAATAAATTATATTATATAATTAACTTATTATTTTAATTAGGAGTATAATTAGTAGTAAAAACCACTAGTAAAAGTAGGCATAGTATACTTAATATACTAAAATTAAATTATAAAACACCCGGAGACCTATTATATTAGCACAAGCAAGTTAGTAACTATTACTTAAGTTTATAAATTAGTAAAGCGTACCGCTATTTATTATACCTAAGTTAAACTTTTATTATTATTTATTTTTTATATTATTATTTATATTATTATTTATATTATTATTTGCTGGGCAGCATATTTAATATTATTTATATTATTTTTAGCATTATTTTTAGTATTATTAATACCTAGGTAACATTAATATTATTCTTAGTATTATTTTATTTACTAGCTAGTATTTTCTAGGTTAGTATTATTTGTATTACCCTTGGTATTATTATTAGTATTATTTTTAGTAATATTTATTTACTATTTATACCTTACTTAGCATCTTTAAATTATTATAAAACAGCTATTAAGTATTAAGTTTTTTAGGGCTATTACCTTAATTTATTATTATAATTTACTTTATTTATTTTTTGTATTATTATTACTATATTATAAAATTAAAAAATAACCTTGGGTTATTTAACTTGTTTTTTAGTATTATAAAAAAATTAAAAACATGTCCGGGGGTGTTTATTTATATTTTTACTTAAATTAAACTATATAATATTTATATAAATAAAGTAATATTATAAAAGGCAAAAACTTGGGTTCCTATGGTAAGAGTTTATTAGCTTACCTATTTTTTTAATACTTTATTTACTGCCTGGATAGAGTTAACTTAGCTTTTAATTTTTAAATAAGTTAAAATATTTATTATTATTATAGGGATTTTAAAAATAATTAGCTACTATTAAATACTAAAATACAAGCTAGGTCTAAACTAGGTGCTTTTAAAAGTAGGTAAATAAAAAATTTAAAATCCTGGTTAAAAATATTATAAAAACTAATACTATAATAAAAAATTAAGGCCTAAATAAAGCCTGGTAAAAAAAAAAATATACCTAGTAGTACTTAGTAACACATGTTAATACTTACTTAAAAGTTCTAGTTATTAAAATATATTTAATAATAATACGCTATAGTATTTTTAGGTATTAAAAAAAATAGCTATAAATAGCTATAAATAAACTTAGGTATAGCTAAAAATTTTTTTAAAATTATTTTTAAAGTTAATAAATATAATTAGGCCGTGAGCAGGATAAGTATAAATAAGAAAAAATAACCTTAGTTATTATAAAAAAGGTATATAATTTATATTAGTTTTAGAGTTAGCAAGGCCTTTTTTAAAGGTATAAAATTTTATATAAGCTTGCTACCTAATTTTATATACCTTTAAAATTTAAAAAAAAAAGTAAAGGGGTATTCTTACTTTTTACCTTGCTAGCTAAATTTTATATATTTTATTATATTTAAGTTTATAAATTTAATTAAGCTTTTTCTCGCGGGGCTTAAACCTAAAAAAGTTAATATAATAAATTTAATTTTTATAATACACAAGGGCAAAGTTTAATAAACTACCTAAGTTACCTTAGCTAGTATAAATAAAATTACTTATAATTATTATATATATTTATTTTATGGCATATTATCCCCCGGTTATTAAATTAAGTTTAATTTATTTATATTAAAATATATTAGTAATTACTATATTTATATTTATATTCTAAGTTACTACTATATTTCTAGCTAAAAAAACTTTATATTTTAATTATAGTGTATTATTATAATATTAGTAATATTATTTATAAGTAGCAAGCTATTTAAGATTAATTAAAGTAGCACCACTAGTGGTGTATTTAAAACTAAAACTAAATAATAAAATACTATTTTAATAAACTAAAGGCTAACTATAATCTTTTTTTTAGTTTTTTATATATAGGATAAATCTAAAATAATATTACGCGGGATATATTAGTATAAAATTACTAGTATAAAAAGCGCGAATACTTGCTATTTCCTGTTTATAAGTTAATAAGTAAAAAATAATTTAATTTATTTTATAAAAGCTTTTTAGTACATAATAACACTGCCTTATTAAAATATATATTACCTATTTTTAAAAGCATTAAAAATAAATTAGTAAATATACTTAAGGTAAATAGTATTATGCAAGAGCAAAAGTTCACAGCTAAAAATAATATTAAAAAATAAAAATAAAATAAAAAAAAATAAAATAAAGCTAATTATTACTTACTATATGCTTATAGCAACCTGCCTGTATTATTAGGTATTATTTAATATTTTTATAAAGGGTGGGAATTTATATTTAGCATAATATACTAAGTAAATACTATTAATAAACTAATAAAGTTTTAAGGCCTGGTAAAGCTACTTTAAAATGCCTATTTAAGCCTGCACCTTGCTACCAGGTATAGTAAATAATAATAAAATATTTTTATAAAAAAATAAATTTAATAATAATACTAGGCTAAAGTACCCCAAGCCTTTTTTTTTATTATTTTTATTTTTTTTAATAGCCTAAAACCAAGTAGCTATATTACTTTAAAAACTATTAAATAATACTACGCAAGATTTTAAAGTTTTAAAGTTAAAATATTATTATTTTTTATTATATTATTAAAAAAAAGTTGCATAAATATAAAAAGGTATTTATTAAAAAGTAAATCTTATTTAGGTTCGCGGTAATTTATATAACAAACTTAATTTTTAAACACCTTAAAAATAATAAATTATTAGTTTTTGTTTTTAATGCATGTAAAAATAATATTTAATTAGGTAATTTAAAATACTTATACGCAGAATAGGTAAAAAAAGTTAGGGTATAAAATTTAATATAAATAAGAATACTAAAAGCTAAAAATATTAATTTTCCTTATTAATATAAAATAAAATATAAAACTTAAATTTAAAATAAGAAACTAGGATAAACTAAAAGTACTAAGTAACTATAAATTATATAAACTTACTTATTTTTATATTTTTTAGTAAAAATATTATTATTTTATAAAGTTATATACTTAGTAAACTGCGCGG